GTCAGTAGGGCACCAATCAACATTTATTCTTCAATCTGGTGGGAACATTTCCGACTTGTTGTGACCTGGGCTGGGGGCTACCTGTGTTGAGGGGGATGAAAGGAGGAGTCCTTTAGTGTATTGTACGACCAGACGATGAGTCACTTCACCTAGGGATGAAATTCATGTTTAAGACACGTACAACTCAATCAAAAGTTTTCATAGAGATTTCACAAGTCTTGCTTTGGGGGAAATGGAAATTAAGCAATCTACATAATTATTGGTTGATATAAGGATTTAACTGGGTACAAATTCTCTGAATGAATTGGTGATGAAATGGAACAGTAGACACTATTGATACAATTACAAAACACTAACTTGTTGAATATATATCCTCAATGTTGGAGCATGAAATCTGTCCAAACCAAAACGATTTAGTTTATTTATAGAAATTTGCTATTCACCAAGAATGTGCAGCAAATTGCGTAGAGTCAGTGATGACATGAAATGGGCAGTTAATGGTAGATATATCTTACAGACCTACATCAGAGATATTTGTATATTTCAGTATTATGGTCTTTCTGGGAGGGGTGATTAGCTGGATACCCCCAGGTAGAATTGTTAGGTTAAATCACCTTGTTTGTTAATAGGTATTCATTGTTATATATACATACCTGTAAACTCAGGTATTCATGATTAAACACATCTAAATTCAATCTAAAATCAATTAAGTCCAATATTTTTCTTGCACATACCAATCCTTTTGTTAAATACATATGAAAACATGTTGTTAAAAAGTCAGTGGAACAAATTTTACTCGTACAAAGATTTTATCATATTGTAATTACTGAGATATTGGTTCCGATTTCTTTTCATCGAAAACAACTAATTTCTCTGTTATTGTATCAAAGTGTAACTTCGGTGCATTTCAATCCTTTGACGTAACTGTACACTTGCCAGTTTATATTTTTTTAGTTGTAGTTAAGATTTAAACTATTGAATTACTTATAATTCTGGGTTGGATTCTTTAACTTACAGAATGAGATTTATTTTGTCTTGATCATAATTTCTCTTTGTTCATTTGTTTGTCAAATTTTAAGTACCCCATAAACAGTTAGGGTTATTTTGATCCAATGTCTCCTTGTAGTGGCTTGTATCTACCTCTCTCTACAACATCTGGGACGTGAGACCTATCACATCCTCATTGAGGGCCATTGGGGTGCAGTATCTTACCCAAGAACAAAACCACAAACTGCACAGACTCAGCGCTTCCTGAAAAATACAAACCGCTACAAGTAGAGAGCATCAAATCACACGCCTCCTCATCACAGGTGGCATTGCCCATCACTCTTACCCACTGAGCTATCAGGGCCCTCATAGTTTCTGTAGACTTTCCAGTATGGTCACCTATAGGTATAGTAGCACTAGTGAGTATGGTATGTGACTTGTATCTAATATGGTAACATTTGTGAACAGTAACATTCGAGTATGGTAACATTTGAATTGTGAGTATGGTGACTTGTGAGTATGGTGACTTGTGTGACGTAATTTGTATAGGCTTATGAGTATGGTGAATTGTGAGTATGGTGACTTATGTGATGTGATATGTATAGGCTTGTGAGTATGGTGACTTGTGAGTATGGTGAATTGTGAGTATGGTGACTTGTGTGACGTGATTTGTATAGGCTTATGAGTATGGTGAATTGTGAGTATGGTGACTTGTGAGTATGGTGACTTGTGTGACATGTGATTTGTATAGGTTTATGAGTATGGTGACTTGTGAGTATGGTGACTTGTGTGATGTGACATGTATAGGCTTATGAGTATGGTGAATTGTGAGTATGGTGGCTTCTGTGACGTGATATGTATAGGCTTATGAATATGGTGACTGGTGAGTATGGTGACTGGTGAGTATGGTGACTTGTGAGTATGGTGACTTGTGAGTACATGTAAAACTGTTTGTACCTTTGCAGTCTCACCTGTGATAGGTGAATTATTCAAGGTAGATAAAAACTAAATATGTATTTATGGTTGTCAGGTTGACAAATAGGTAGTTCATGGTGATGGATGGACTGACAGTAAACATGTGGAGGTCGATGTAGAATTCTGATGACTTTCAGCCTGCAACAGGAGCGGATGCATTCATTAAAGTGTCAAATCCCTTAGGCAAAGAATATTCAAATTAGTCATTCATGGTATTGATAATAAAACTTGCATAAGGTATAATCAATTCAGTTTCAATAAATAGCAGTATTGTACTGAACCTAAGATCAAACCTGATGATTAATCTCACAGTAGATAGTTATCATGTGTTGTCAAAAATAATAAATCATCGAGGTTTTATGTCACAGTATAGATGTGTATTGGGTGCTTTATGTGAGGTACACGACACCCTAATGTTGGTGTATGTTCTATTTCTATACTTTTGACCTTTTCTATGTCATGGAGCTGTATTTTGTGATAATACTGACATTTCCAAATGTTAGGGTCAAGTAGCTTTAATGCTACATGATATACTGAACATCTCTGGCTGTGATATCTAGCTTGAGTGTTGGATTGTTAATATAGATGATGTATATGTTATGCATGACTTGAGCATTAGATAATTTCAGAATTATTGTTGGTATTTAGGCCAGACATTTTGGATGGAAGTTGATTTTGACATTTATTTTATTTCTGACCGTAAAGTGTTCCTGGGTTTTATGTTTCCTATGATATTTAATTCTACAAAGACATACATGATGTACTTGGCTCAAACTTTGGGATTCTCTATGCATCCCAAGTGTGTGATCCTTAGGTTTGTGTGATAGGTTTATCACCATGTCAACAGTCAGGGTCATTTTGAGGTAACTGGTGGCTACCTCGCTGAACAACATACAAGCGACTCGTCACATGCCATCCAGATCAATAGGGTTAAGTTTCTCCTCAAAGAACACACCCACAATAACACAAATATTTCTCAGATTTCAGAGAAACAAAACTGCCTCAGGAAGTGAGCTTTAACCACATAACTCTTGATGTTAACCTGATGTTGTGAAGGTTAATGCTACACTGACTGAGCTATCACAGAACCTTGATACTAAGGACAAGCTCTGCAGTGTGCGATACACCAGGTTTAGTGAAGATTTCTTTTGTTTGATTAAATATGTTAAGTCAAATATTGCATTTAGAAAACACTGTCCATAGCAAAAGAATGTCCAGTAAAACATGTATGATTACAACTATATATGAACTTTGACCTTTTACAAAGCTATGTAAATAGTTATGGTACTGTAAAAGTTCAAACTGATGTGGGGAATTCAGAAAATGCAGTGGTGAGCATACTTATTCTGTGTAAAACTGTAGTAGACATACTGGTCTTCAGAAAAAACTGAAAGGTAGGTAATTTAAACCAGACAGTCCAAGTTAACTTTTTGGAGTGTTTGAAGTTTTAAATAGCAAGCTGAGGAACTGAAAGGTTTTACTATTGACAAGGTAATGTCTGTGTTTCCAGTGTTACTCTATTGTAGTCCAGAACAAATCAATATAACATATGATTTGTTTGTAAAATGGTTTCTGAATTGGATCATAGACATTTGAATTTTTGTTCCTCTGGGATAAACTGTACAGTATAGTTCCTATTCAGTTACTTTTCTGAGGGGCAGTGATAGGATATAAATTCTGCTGTGAGCTGTCGGATACCACGTATGGAACTTCCTCATGGAGTCAACCAGTCTTCTGGAGTTAAATATTCTTGTCAATAATTGTTGCGTGAGTTATCTGCACCTGTTATAATTCATCAATAAAGATGCCTTCAGATCTGGAGATCAATATCTGGCGCCCCTGTCTCAGATACCATAATACTCAGGTATATTTTGTTACTCTCACTCTGCTGGATTTCGATCTTCCCCCAAAAAAATACAAAAAAATAATGAAGATGCCAAATACATTTTCATCTTCTTATGAATCACATTCTAACAATATTATCGTGAACAAAATATCAAATTGTTCTTTTTACCCTAAATTAGAATTAATACGGAAGTATGTGGACAGTAAGTGGGTATTGATGTTTCTGAAGTCTTAAGGTTTTTTGCTAAAAATCAGTGAGGAATTCATAAAATTTGTTTTATTGTTGGTAGTTTCTATACAATGAAGGGGATGTTCTCTACCTTTTCTACAATATATATACTTTGTGTAGCTACATATATGAAGATTTGCTTGTAGATGTCATTTCTGATTAATTGTGGTTTGGGTTGACATTCTGTTTCGTGTAGAGAAATAAAGGAGACAACATGCTTGAAACTTTAAAGTAAACCCAGAAACACATTAACACCGTACAAATGAGGTAACACGCTATTAGTCATCTCATTATGGACGTTGAAAAATAGCTACTTACTGGTGCTACCTTGTAAAACAATAAAACTGGGGGACAATTCACTATCATTGTGTGTGTGACTTAGCAACCAGAGAGATGACATGCGGTATATATACCTGTGTTTGATTATACAAAAGTTTGATGTATTCTCACATGTGAGGAAATATACATTTGTGATGAGGTACACTCCATATTAGGACTCCGTATGCTACCGTTTCACATATGAAGGATATTTACGGGGTTTTTTCCTTGTAAAAATTCATCACGGAATAAACTGTTCAAGACTGGGTAGTATTTACTGTACAGCTCTGCTAGAATGCTACATGTCACAATACTGGTGTTTAGGTTTATTGTCACAGTTCCTTGTCATCCTTCTGACAGTTACCTGGTACTATGTCGCGGTTTACATGCAGACACAGGAAGTAAGATTGGGTAAACTGCTGCTTAGCAGATTCATATTCACAATCTCTTGAATTATTAAAATGTTTAAATTTGAATTCGAGGATGTTGTTAAAAGTACCATACTATCATACCTGATTTTATTTAGCGAAGAACTGTTCTTTTGTAGAAAATACATATTACATTGTTTCCAGCATCACAAAATATCCATGGAGTAGCACATCTAAAAACAAAAATTTTCAAGGACTTTTTCATTTGTTTTTCTCAGACTCGAGTCATTGATGGGCCTGGATCGAAGCCACATTGAGGATGAGACGTTGCGTCATGCATCCTGGTATCAAGCAGGGATCCCACGGGAGATTGCCCTGGAGATCCTACAACAGGAGGATATAGGATCCTTCATTGTTCGGGATAGCTCCACCCATCCGGGATGTTACGCCCTATCAGTCCGCGTCCCAAAGTTTGAAAACCCCACAGGCATCTCACATTATCTGATACTTAAGACACAACGGGGAGTCAAACTAAAGGTAAGAAAATTGAGATGAATTATTTTCAATTACTCTATATTGTTAAGGAGAGTATATCTCATACCATGTTGTCTGTCATCCATCAGCAATTTCTATATAAACCACAGTCATGAACAGTTGACCAGATTTTGATGTCATTTGGTCAGAAACATCCTTGGGTGAAGAAGGATTCAATTTAATGTAAATGGTTGGTCTGCCCCCCGTTGAGCCAAAAAGGGCACATTTAGCAATTTCTTTTTAAATCACAGAAATTATTAGATTTTGTCCACATTTGGCCTGAAGCATTCTTAGGGGAAGGAAACTTTACAAATGGTTTTACTGACCCCCTGTTGGGAGAGGCATATGGGCCAATGTGGAAATAGATCTAAACCTTCAGAATTCCCTTTTTTAATTAGTTTTGATAAAGCCTTTTCAGCCAATCAAAATCAGGTGAACAATGCAGGTCCTTTGGGCCTCTTGTTTTGATTGCATAAGCTTTCAGTATCTTACCATTTACCTGGAGCATATTAATTCCTAGTGTGATTTGGAATAATTTGTTTTTTTGCTGTTTTGGTATTGAGCTAACCTGAAATTAGAGAATGATGTATTGATTGTAAGGTTGAACAGTTGTTTGTATTTTTGTGTTTTAGGGTCTGGAGAAAGAATGGCCTGATCTTATTGCTCTAGTCACACATCACACTGTCATGTCAGAAATGTTACCATGTACGTTACGTCTCCCACACAAATCTACCAACCCAACCTTCAAGGACAGCGACAAGGACGAGAAAGAAGATGACCCAGATTATCAACGTCTTTCTGACTTTTCCTCCATGATGGATACGCTCAAAATGTAGATTCTGGTTTCCATACCAACGGGGAGGAATAGCAGTGTTTATTTGTTACCATGGCTGCAACCATGGTGACGATAGATATCAACAATGCATATTTCAATGACTGGCATGGATGTTAACAACCCAGTGGTCATGAGAGTCTCTTGTTATCAATCATGAAGACCTGCTTTAGTCAGTGTGGGACTCCTTGTCAGGAATAAAGATTTAGTGCTGCTGGTGACACGAGTTTATGACATCCTTTCTGTGATGTTACAGCCCTCATTGAAACACTAACAAGCTGTGCTGATTATTTCTAAACTGTGATGATATGACAGGCCTGTGATTAAAGGGGGATAACTCTAACTTTGGATTTTGTGACAGGAAAACTTATCAGACACTATTGGTTGATAAATATTTCATAAGTGTTGTGAGTACTTGATGAAACCTATTCATATCGGACAGTGACCAGTAGTGACCAGCTGTCACACATTGTGTTACAGTAATATTGTGCAATGTAATTCTACAAATTGTGTGAACTTAATGATAAGTCCAGTAGGTGCATGGTTCTTTTCACAAGGTGAAAGGTTGTAACCATGGTCACCTGGCAGTGTTACATGCCTGTAGACGAAGTCAACACCATGTAGTGTTCCTGGTTAGGTGGAAATATAAAAATTCTGTTTGTCCTGATATTTGGACTGTTACAATGCAGTTGTTTGGATTCTGTGTTCAGGTTCATAAAAATTTGTGTCCAGTCACAGCTTGGAACATGTCCAGCAAGCAGTTTGACACAAGTTGTATGAAAGTCATGATTTTGAATTCCTGGTGTTTATTTTAACATTATTACATTCTACATTCTGTGTCATCCTGTTACAATATTGCACTAGATTTATCTTCCTCTCACATACCGATATTCTCATCAACTCATCGAAGAAAATCATGCAGTGAATTCAGAAGCAAATGTAAGGAAGCCATGAATATACATCATGAAATTATTGAATGTCTCGGTGAAAAAAACAGATCCTGGTGTACACATTTGTCAGAAACTTGAGCTATGATCAGTGTAAGCATGCTGTATCAGTGAAACATTCGTTCTGTGCTGCAAAATATGGCACTAGATATTCCTGTTGGATTAGGAAGGCTCATTTAAAATCTGTCATTATAGGCGAGTATGACTAGAATTAATCTGCCAGTGAGGTGCAGGAGAGACTGTGATATTAGATATGTATAGGTGTTCATGTGTATTATATACATTGTTTTATGGGTTTTAAAAAAACATGGAAGTACACAATGTGGTATTGAAGGTCATGTTGCTGGTGAACATATTGAACTGTAATGTATTGAGATATTGTAATGTATAAAAAATACAATGTATTACACTGTATTTGTAATGAACATTGTTATACATTGTGTTTTGTAGTTTATATATTGTACTATTAGTAAATAGAAGTAGGAGAAATAATGTTTGGATTCTTGCCTTGGAGTTACCTCCCCTCCCCAATCCTCAGTGGAGGGCAGGTCAGATGAAACAGCTTACTGTTGGAAAAGAAGTGTACTTTTTACAACCTTTGTCACATCCTTTTTTACTCCTTTGCAGCTATACAATAAGAATGTATGCCTTTTTTTAGAGTAGTATGAACTACGCCAGGTGGAAATTGTTTTGATTCAGGGATAAATAATACAACATACTGTTGAGTATTAATCATTGCAAGAGTCTACATTAAAATCCACAGGAACTTGGAGATGTTTTTGATAAAGCATCCCCTCCTCCCCCTCCCAAGGGAAATAACTCTGTAAGTTGAACGACATTTATATAGATGTTCAAACATCTTTCTAAAGCAATAATGTTTTGTGTAAGACTGGTTCATTCCATACTTAGTGTGAGGCAGGATCATTACTGCTGATAAAAGCATGACTAAGCCCACGATGTTGTGTTGGAGGAATTGTACTGCCAGCATTATAACTAGAAAATGGAGGAGGAATGTATAAAACGCTGGGGAAACGTGATATAAAATATAACATGGGAGTATTGTGATATAGACCTGTTATCAGGAGATTACAACTAGTATACAGGTGTCAATCATACAAAGATGCCACAAAACTCCATAATATTGACGAGATAAAACTGCTTCTAAATCTTTAAGTAAATTCTTGTATCATTTTATACATTAAGTGAACCTTTAGTGCTGTTTATAACTTGGTAAATAACCACAAGGTGATGTCAACATTTTTTTAACTGTTTATTTGGCAGTCTGCCTATTGGTGCATTGTAATAGCCTAGCCTGAATATAAACCGTTTACCAATACAAACATCAAGGGTATTGTCCTTGGATTAATGTCTCAAAACTATCCCTATTTTATTTTTTTACATACATCGTTCTCAAGAAAAGGAAAGAGCTAATTTTTTTTTTTATTGTCGCTTTGTCTACACCAGAATCCTTGGTAATCAGACAAGTCATTTAGTCTGTCTACATCAGAAACCTTGGTTATCAAAAAATCTTATTTAGATTCTGACTTTCGTCACCTGTCTACACCAGAAACCTTGATAATCAGACAAGTAATTTTACAGCTTTATTGCCATAAGTAAAGACTTTTAATAAAGTAGATAGGAATGACACTTATTATCCAGGACGATATTTCCAGATTACATTTCATGAATCTTTCTTTGTTGATGGAGTTTGGTTCAGATTTTATTAACGTAACCGACTTCGTTTTATGCTTCCACGAGTACATGTGAGACATGTAGAGACAGTTGTTTTAATTATGTTGTTTTAACTTCCTGTTTAAGTTGTGGCCTTATTATGTTGATCCCTTGTAGGAGCTTAGTTGTCGATTTGGGTGGTTGTATTAGAGTGAACTGTGAGTTGTACGAGGTAGAAGGATTTTATTTTCAAACAGAGAGGAGTTTTAATGATTGAATATTAAGAGTAGAGAGAGAGAGAGAGAGAGAGAGAGAGAGAGAGAGAGAGAGAGAGAGAGAGAGAGAGAAAGAGAGAGAGAGAGGGAGAGAGAGAGAGAGAAGAGAAGAGAGCTAGCTAGCTAAGAACTATAAGAACTAAGCAATGGTGAAATGAACTTCAAATCAAGTGGTATGAACTTTGAACTAAGTTGGAGCGATATTTAAAATAAAACGGAATGAAAGACAGTATAGAGATTTGAGATTGAATTTTTCCTGATAATTGGAGTGACTAATTTGTCTTTAAGCCTTGGTGATTTACTTTAAATTCTAAACAAAAGTAATTAAAAAAATTTAAACGATAAATTCATTAATAAAATCAAGGCTTAAGGACAGATTATTTATTTGAAATGTAAGAATGATGAATTATATTATTTCCGGTAGATTTAATTGCATGTTTTAGCATTAAGAGTTTTAGATTATTGTATTCTACTCATTCCCAGAAATCAATTTTGTTTTAAACTTGTTTTGGTTATCTCCCTTTTTACTGAAGATCTGTGGATATACATAAACCTACGTAACTATCTGGTTTATCTCATACACTGACCGACGTCTTTTATTGCCGTTTCTGGGAGTGAGAAGGACACAGCAACATTTCTGTTTGTTAGCATATTTATATAGAAGATTGTTGAATGTTTATTTTGTGTTTTTGCCAAACCTGTGATTGTCTGTAGGCTGAGATGGGTGTGTCACCTGAGTATTACACTGATCTTGCCCAATACAAGTCATAGAGAAAGTACATTGCTTGTTTGTTTTCTGTTTAAACCAACATTATCATACAATGAACAGATTTAGAATACCAAATTTTTCATGCTTCAGAATGTATTTCTGAGAGGTGACCATCTTAGATTTTGACAAGTTTTTATCACAATCTTTAACAAGAGATCCTATAGGGATCTTGGCACCCACCATTGTTTGATCTTTAAAAGCTGGATATTTTCCTTTTTTTCTTCTCTGTATTTGCTCTTAACGATTAGACATTTAAACATTCCTTTGCAGAAATAGCAATGATAATCTTTACCTGCGAAATCCAAAGTGATAAACTTTCGATTTCAAAATCCAAGATGGCCACTTGTAGGCCATTCTGTTTATTCTGATCAGACCAAAAATTAACTAGAACAACCAGGGACAAAGGGGAACCTAAATATGAAATTTAAGAACGATTCACCAAGTACTTCTCAAGAAATAGCAATAACAAACTTTCAAAGTTAAAATAAAAGATGTCCACCTATTAGCCATTTTATTTCTCTGCTCACATCCAAAATCAAACAGGCACAACTAGAGATCAAGGGAAACAAATACACAAAATTTTAGAAAGATCTGTGGTGTAGTTCTTATGAAACAGTGATAACAAAATTGCAAAGTCACAATCCTAGATGGCAACCGTTTGACCATTTTGTTTTTTTTATCAGTCGCAAAATGAAATGAGCACAACTAGGGACCCTAAGGAACTGATACATGAAATTTGAGAAAGATCTATGTAGTCGTTCTTAAGAAATAGTGATAACAAACTTTCAAAGTCAAAAGCCAAGTTGGCTGCTTCTGGGCCATTTTGTTTTTCTGATCAGATCCAAAATCAAACTGGCACAACTAGGGTTCAAGGAGAACCTACATAAGAAATATGAGAAAGATCCATGCAGTACTTCTCAAGAAATAGTGATAACAAAAACTTTACGGACAGATGGACGGCAGGACGGACGCAGAGTGATTTGAATTGCCCACCATCTGCTGATGGTAGGCAAAAAAAAGATAAAAATAATCTTTTTCAATTTCATAGTACATATCCTTTTGTCACATTATTTCCAAAAACAAAAAACAATGAGTCTCCTTTCATCATTAAACAATTTATTGCATAACACAAGTATTTGATAATAGTCTATCCATACATTACAATATTAAGTTTGTACATCAGGAATATACAAGCAATACTTTCAAAAGATGAAACGAAACACTGAATCTGTATAGCAACTATATGCAGAGTTTAAAACAAAGTATGACATACATTTAACATTTCTATAGGTTTACACCGTATCGTCAAGGGTAGATAACTTCATGAATGATCATAGGATATATGTAAATCAAGGGAGATAATGCATGTCTGCCATTAAATTCACAATGTACAATGGTATGATAAATAATCTCAACATAACTAAGGTATTAACCCTTCAGTCCAGGTTTCTCCTGTGTAACTATGCATCGTCTATACTTAAGGTTTTTTTGAAACTTTACATCTCTCACACAATTGAGATCTCTCAAAGATTCATTCCCTAATACAGACTTTAAAAAAAACAATCAAAAAAAAAACAATTGCATTGGCGCTGATTGAAGCATGAGTGTAAATCTAAAAATTATCTCTTTGATCTGTCTTCTGGGAGTATATCTCCCCATGATCTGTCTCTTAGGAGAACTGATCTCAAACTGACCTGTCTCTAGGCAAGTGATCTCTGATCTCCCAAATGACCTGTTTTCAGGGAACTGATCTCCCAAATGATCTCTCTCTCTCTCTTGAGAGAGAGAGACCTCTCTCTCGGGAGCTGATCTCCCACTGACCTCTCTCTCGGGAGCTGATCTCCCAAATGACCTGTTTTCAGGGAACTGATCTCCCAAATGATCTCTCTCTCTCTCTTGAGAGAGAGAGAGCTGATCTCCCACTGACCTCTCTCTCGGGAGCTGATCTCCCAAATGACCTGTCTTCAGGAAACTGATCACCCACTGACCACTCTCTCGGCAAATGATCAGTCTCTCTTTAGAGGGAGAAATGATCACATGAAGTAAAAGGATTTCACCACTGATACTACATTATCACAGAATGTGCAGCACAATATCTACACTACATACCTATACAGTACATCTGTAATATATATATAGGATTATACTGGGATTTTGATGGGATTTAAAAATGATAAGCACTCAGTATGGTATACATATAAATACTGTATAGTGGATAATACTGGTTTATCTTGGACATTACAAAGACTACAGAGAAATAGCAAATTAACAAAAAGCATGAAATAAGAGGCCCACAGGGTCTGTAATTGCTCACCTCGTTTACAAGAAATAATTACAACAGAACCCCGTTTTGTAGAAGCAATTCAGATGCTAGAATAGTCCAAATGGAACTTACTGTTAATTTGAACGACTTTTGACTTTGATTGCTCATCAAATAAGATGGCCTTCTATCCAATATAAGTGTTTCAGTCCATCAATGATCTAATATAAACTAAGGATATTTTGTGTACTGGTTCCATGGATGATATGAACCAGGATGAATTTTATAATTTGTTTTCATGAAAAAACACAGTTTCAAAACTTAAATTTACTCTTTAAGTTCTCTATGAACTATGATAAAGCTATGAAGTCTGAACAAATTACCAAAATCTGTTTTCAAAGTCAAAAGAGTGAGATGTGTTAAAGTCTTCAATGAGTATAACAGTGGTTAGAAGACCAGTCTGTGATATGGTGAATAAAATATCAATCTACTCTTTACAGTTCTGAAGAAGAAGTGTTTGACATGGGATGACTGACCAACATTGTACCACCTCCTAAGTACAAGGGCACTTTGTGCCAGGTGACCATACATTGATTATAAATTAACTATTTGTCTAATTAACAATATATTGTATGAAGTATGACTTTTTAAGTCTGTACTATAATATGGCTGAACAGGAATAAATGGTGTGATTCAATCAGTTTTTGTTGCCATTTTTAAGTAGAATTTAATTCTTTCTAAATTTCACTGATACAGCTAAAAATGGTTACAAAGCTGAAAGTTGACTAGTTATACACTGGCTTATACACAAGTTTACATAATGGACACAAACCCACAAAGTGTATATTGTAACTACCTAACAATAAGCCTGCACCTGGCAGTAAGCCTATATATATATTACTGTTCAGTGTCAACAGTAAACCATTGTCTCATTGTATCTGGTAATAAGCCCATCTCCTTACTATAAATCAATGGTTGTGTAGTTCCCCATCTGTCCCCCACCCTGAGTTATATTGCTAATTAAGTATAGTTTAGAACACAACCCAACATGAGAGTATAATCTTTGTATAATGCTACCTTGTGCATATTCACCAACAGGTTTCCAGGGTTTTTTTCTTAATTTCTTGATTTAATTTCCAAAAAAATATACTTCAAAGCACTTTTTAGGCTAAAAACCAAGACATATATTTGCTCTGTGGTTTGAGGTGATATAGAAGTTTTTACTCTACGAATGTCCAATATTACCATTCCAAGGTCTTAAACAACTAAACAATATGAAATTTATTTAAACCAACTTCCTTTGACAGTTGTGCTATAATAGTAAAGCCCCTAACTTTTATTCAAAATACAAAATCCTTCTTTTTTTTACTTACTGTAAAAAAAATAGTTTAGCTGGGCTCAAACTTTGTGGTTTTCAAAAAATATACATTTTCATTTATTTCATGGTAATAAATGTGAATGTTTATCTGTTTATCATTAATGATTTACAGTAAATTACTGCCATTCTATATTTTCCTTGTAATGGGTTATCTTGGGTGATTGAAGTCATAAGGATTTTGATAAATCTCCAAAATATACACAATCACCTTCTCACTTTTTTCAGACTGGCTACCAGAATTAGAGTTCTGTATATAATATTGCTCAGTTAAATTCTGAATTGAACACAAAAGGGAATGCTTAAACAGGTCAATAAAAATCACTAACATTGTCATAGCCACTGATGGTCCACCTCCTGACTGGAAGATTCACAGAGACAGAACATTAAAGTGATTTATTTAGAGTTGCCTCCCTTTACTCTCCCGATCTTCAACATATTTCTTTGCTGGAATGTCTTAAAAAATCTGGCAGCATTACACGAGATGTTATCAGATTCTGTAGTTATTTATCTACTTACTGGTGAAGATCCAATTAAGATATCAGTCAAAATTGTGTTTGTACAAGTATTATAATTCATAATCTTTTAAATCCAAAAATCTTAAACTATATATTCTATAATTCAAATAAAGTTTATGGAGATAACCATATAAAGGACATCTTACACATATAATCAATAAACTTTATAAAATTGTAAAAACAATCTTTAAACAAATAGATATACAGCAAATAAATAAACTAATTTGTCTTCTCAAAAAATCCGTTAATCACATAAAAATTTTGTTCTTTTCTTAAGAACAAAACTTTGAATTTTTCATAAATGAACTGGAATACTTAAAATAAGATTGCAAAAAGCACTTTACAACAGTATGTGTCATACTTAACACAATTATCACACCAATGTAACACACATGTGTCATACTTAACACAATTATCACACCAATGTAACACACATTTGTCATACTTAACACAATTATCACACCAATGTAACACACATGTGTCATACTTAACACAATTATCACACCAATGTAATACATCAGCATCAGGTGTATGAAAACCAACACTCCAATACCACTAAGGTGTACCCTGGTTACAACAAAATACTGCCAAAAATATATCAACCATTTATTTCATTTTATAAATTTTAGAAATTGTAATTGAATTATCTCCCTTGTTGGAACTCTTGAAAAGCATTTGAAAAGATGTATCACAGATATGAATTATCTCCCTTGTTGAAACTCTTAAAAAGTCTTCCCAAACACCATGTGGTACCTATACTGTATAAACCCACCCTGTATCGCTATAAACTGCTATTCACTGGGACTGCTATGTAATGCTATTTCCTGTGATTAGTCCACCCGCTGATTTAGAGTCAGAGGTGTGTTGGTCCCCTGAACCTATTACAGGATATGATTACACTAGGAGCTGATAATCTATCTCACACAAGCTGATCCATCTGATAATTTCTCTCGAAACTCAATTAGGTACCTTTTGATCATTCTTTTAAGGAACCTTGAATTATTTCTATAAAATCAATTACTATTTCAATATACATACAAATATAAAAATGAAATTGCAATATAAGGGTAAAAAATTTACTGCGTTGTTGGAAAATTATGTACATATTTATCACAGTAGTTAAAGAATCTCGCAATAGATTTAAAATTTACAAATCTGTGAAACAACAAAGTGATTAAGTGAAGCGGTAACTATGGCAATGGATTAATAAACAACCAAATTTTACATGGAACACAACATCCTGTACCATACTGTATCCCTGGTAGTGCTGATTACTGAGGATCAAGAACAAAGTAAGGTTAATACAGGATAACAACCAATGTACTGTTAAAACATTCTGATACCGGCCAAAATAACCAGGACAAAATTTCTGTGGAATTATGACTTGCCATCCTTCCTTCCAATCTCATTAATGGCAAAATCTCTAAACATATAACTGGTTGAAAACCAAAAGAAAGAAAATTTAATTTCATGAGCAAAAATCCCAACTAATAAGTTTATTGATGATATGTGCAAAACTAAAGTAACCACAAAATTGTCAGAGGAATTATTAGCAATACTCAGATTCTACCCAAATTTGATCTTTCTTGCCAAAAATTAGAATTTTTCAAATGTAATAATATTTCACAATTTTGATTTTCCCCTATTGATACAACTTTATACTTTAATTGGTTGCTATGGTACATTTTGAGAATCTGGGCTTCTTAAAGTTTGTTGTGAACGCTGACATATAAAAGAATGCTTCTTATCCACATGTTGTACTTATTGCTATTTGTTGTTGTGTGTATGGTTTTTTGTTTTTTTTTAGCATTTTTTATTTGAAAGGACTTATTTTGTGTAAATAAATCCAATTAAAATTTAATAACTGATGGAAAAAAAGTTCAATTGTTAATAAAAGCAAGGTGATATACACAATTAATAAAGGTGTAATACTGGAAGTAGCAAGTAACAAGTCAAACAGGGGAACAGACTGACAAGTAACAAGTCAAACAGGGGAACAGACTGACAAGTAACAAGTCAAACAGGGGAACAGACTGACAAGTAACAAGTCAAACAGGGGGACAGACTGACAAGTAACAAGTCAAACAGGGGGACAGACTGACAAGTAACAAGTCAAACTGGGGGATAGACTGGCAAGTAACAAGTCAAACAGGGGGATAGACTGACAAGTAACAAGTCAAACAGGGGAACAGACTGACAAGTAACAAGTCAAACAGGGGGACAGACTGACAAGTAACAAGTCAAACAGGGGGACAGACTGACAAGTAACAAGTCAAACAGGGGGACAGACTGACAAGTAACAAGTCAAACAGGGGGACAGACTGACAAGTAACAAGTCAAACAGGGGAACAGACTGACAAGTAACAAGTCAAACAGGGGGACAGACTGACAAGTAACAAGTCAAACTGGGGGATAGACTGACAAGTAACAAGTCAAACAGGGGAACAGACTGACAAGTAACAAGTCAAACAGGGGGACAGACTGACAAGTAACAAGTCAAACAGGGGAACAGACTGACAAGTAACAAGTCAAACAGGGGGACAGACTGACAAGTAACAAGTCAAACTGGGGGATAGACTGGCAAGTAACAAGTCAAACAGGGGGATAGACTGACAAGTAACAAGTCAAACAGGGGAACAGACTGACAAGTAACAAGTCAAACAGGGGGACAGACTGACAAGTAACAAGTCAAACAGGGGGACAGACTGACAAGTAACAAGTCAAACAGGGGGACAGACTGACAAGTAACAAGTCAAACAGGGGGACAGACTGACAAGTAACAAGTCAAACAGGGGAACAGACTGACAAGTAACAAGTCAAACAGGGGGACAGACTGACAAGTAACAAGTCAAACTGGGGGATAGACTGACAAGTAACAAGTCAAACAGGGGAACAGACTGACAAGTAACAAGTCAAACAGGGGGACAGACTGATAAGTAACAAGTCAAACAGAGGAACAGACTGACAAGTAACAAGTCAAACAGGGGGACAGACTGACAAGTAACAAGTCAAACTGGGGGATAGACTGACAAGTAACAAGTCAAACAGGGGAACAGACTGACAAGTAACAAGTCAAACAGGGGGACAGACTGACAAGTAACAAGTCAAACAGGTGACTGACAAGTAACAAGTCAAACAGGGGGACAGACTGACAAGTAAAAATTCAAACAGGGGAACAGACTGACAAGTAACAAGTCAAACAGGGGGCCAGACTGACAAGTAACAAGTCAAACAGGTGACTGACAAGTAACAAGTCAAACAGGGGGACAGACTGACAAGTAACAAGTCAAACAGGGGGACAGACTGACAAGTAACAAGTCAAACAGGGGGACAGACTGACAAGTAACAAGTCAAACAGGGAAACAGACTGACAACAAGTCAAAAAGGGGGACAGACTGACAAGTAACAAGTAAAACTGGGGACAGACTGACAAGTAACAAGTCAAACAGGGGGACAGACTGACAAATAACAAGTCAAACAGAGGAACAGACTGACAAGTAACATTGTGCAACAAGGAGGGATAAAAACCCATTGTTTCTTATCCAGAAATTACTACAACCAATTCTCTAAAATTTATACATCCACATCATCAGAGAAGATTCATCATTGCGGAGGTGTTCTTTCTGTTGTTCAGCTGGTGGTCGTTTCCAGTCCAGATAACCATCTCCTCCACTAATCACAATCACTGCATTGCAGTTGCGTTTAGACAACGTACTAATAGCCTTCATTCGAGGGCCATTATGCTCCCCTGGTGGAAGTTTAAGTGATAGCGAGGTTCTAACATTTGGTGATTTGTTCTTTGATTGAAGTGACAAAGTTTTTCGCAAACTAAATGATTTTTTTGCTTTCTCTTCCTTGTTGCCTTTTTGTACATTTGTATCACCTTGACCTTTACCAGAGTCACTTTGACCTTTACTTGAGTCACTTTGACCTTTACTGGCGTCACCTTGACACTGACAAGTAACAAGTCAAACAGGGGAACAGACTGACAAGTAACAAGTCAAACAGAGGAACAGACTGACAAGTAACAAGTCAAACAGAGGAACAGACTGACAAGTAACAAGTCAAACAGGGGAACAGACTGACAAGTAACAAGTCAAACAGAGGAACAGACTGAATGATTTTTTTGCTTTCTCTTCCTTGTTGCCTTTTTGTACATTTGTATCACCTTGACCTTTACCAGAGTCACTTTGACCTTTACTTGAGTCACTTTGACCTTTACTGGCGTCACCTTGACACTGACAAGTAACAAGTCAAACAGGGGAACAGACTGACAAGTAACAAGTCAAACAGAGGAACAGACTGACAAGTAACAAGTCAAACAGAGGAACAGACTGACAAGTAACAAGTCAAACAGGGGAACAGACTGACAAGTAACAAGTCAAACAGAGGAACAGACTGACAAGTAACAAGTCAAACAGAGGAACAGACTGACAAGGTTCTCAAGTTGTGTGTGTGGATAATGAACTTTTGTTACATGGAGACTGGTTAAGCAAGAATCTTTTTCCCAAATTACCAGTAACTGGACTAGGTAGTCTGATGCTGTTACTTCTTACATAGACTTTTTTTACCGCAAACACAACAGAATCACTGTGCCCTGGTTTGAATTATCTGCCCAATAAAATGTGTTGGATATTTATATCTTCTTGCTTTGTTGGTCAATAAAACATAAAAACTTAAACATTATTAGATTGATAAAAGTTGCTGAACACATACCAAGACTTCATTGTGCAACAAGGAGGGATAAAAACCCATTGTTTCTTATCCAGAAATTACTACAACCAATTCTCTAAAATTTATACATCCACATCATCAGAGAAGATTCATCATTGCGGAGGTGTTCTTTCTGTTGTTCAGCTGGTGGTCGTTTCCAGTCCAGATAACCATCTCCTCCACTAATCACAATCACTGCATTGCAGTTGCGTTTAGACAACGTACTAATAGCCTTCATTCGAGGGCCATTATGCTCCCCTGGTGGAAGTTTAAGTGATAGCGAGGTTCTAACATTTGGTGATTTGTTCTTTGATTGAAGTGACAAAGTTTTTCGCAAACTAAATGATTTTTTTGCTTTCTCTTCCTTGTTGCCTTTTTGTACATTTGTATCACCTTGACCTTTACCAGAGTCACTTTGACCTTTACTTGAGTCACTTTGACCTTTACTGGCGTCACCTTGACCCTTTTTTTCCTTAGAATTACTCAACACATCGCCTTGCTTATTTGTCAGTTCTTTACCATACATGTTTTCAGAAAGGTCTGAATTTTTGCTCGAATCTGAACCTTCATCAAAGGTCATAAGGTCACGGTAATACAAATTGACTTCATCCTCAGAAGACACCTTATCTAGGAGGTTAGACTTCCTCACTGTACCTAAACGTTTCTTTTGCACTGTTTCCAGTAACTCCTTTCTAAAAGGAAGAGAACTCTGGGGATTTCTCAAATACCGCCCCTGTAGAGATTTAGAGGACACAACCTCAGTTTCATCAGCCCGTAAGGTCATATGGGAAATGTTCTGAGGGATAAGTACCTCCCCTTTCTCATTAGGTAAAACTTGAACCCCTACATTCTCCTTCTGTATTGAAATGTCTGTTTCTACAGAACTAGATTTCAGCTGCTCACTGGCAGCATCACCATTCTGACACGACTCATTTTGTGCCATCTGATTGGCCCCATCAACAAACTGCCACAGATTGACAGTGTCACAGTAGACAGGGATAAGAAGTCTGACAGGGCCATTGTGTGCATGGCAGGAGACCCAGGGTTTGTCCCAGTAACGAGGGACACCATCCTTAAGTCGTGGTAGGGACACTGTCAAAATGATTCCTACATTCGTGCCGATCCAGAGATAGCCTCGACTTGCCATTAGACAAACTATTTATACAACCTGTAACAGGTAACAAACTATACAACCTGTAACAGGTAACAAACTATTTATACAACCTGTAACAGGTAACAAACTATTTATACAACCTGTAACAGGTAACAAACTATTTATACAACCTGTAACAGGTAACAAACTATTTATACAACCTGTAACAGGTAACAAACTATTTATACAACCTGTAACAGGTAACAAACTATACAACCTGTAACAGGTAACAAACTATTTATACAACCTGTAATAGATAACAAACTATTTATACAACCTGTAACAGGTAACAAACTATACAACCTGTAACAGGTAACAAACTACAACCTGTAACAGGTAACAAACTATACAACCTGTAACAGGTAACAAACTGGTAACAAACTATACAACCTGTAACAGGTAACAAACTATACAACCTGTAACAGGTAACAAACTATACAACCTGTAACAGGTAACAAACTATACAACCTGTAACAGGTAACAAACTATACAACCTGTAACAGGTAACAAACTATACAACCTGTAACAGGTAACAAACTACAACCTGTAACAGGTAACAAAACAGGTAATAAACTATTTATACAACCTGTAACAGGTAACAAACTATATAACCTGTAACAGGTAACAAACTATTTATACAACCTGTAACAGGTAACAAACTATATAACCTGTAACAGGTAACAAACTATTTATACAACCTGTAACAGGTAACAAACTATTTATACAACCTGTAACAGGTAACAAACTATTTATACAACCTGTAACAGGTAACAAACTATACAACCTGTAACAGGTAACAAACTATACAACCTGTAACAGGTAACAAACTATACAACCTGTAACAGGTAACAAACTATTTATACAACCTGTAACAGGTAACAAACCATTTATACAACCTGTAACAGGTAACAAACTATATAACCTGTTACTGGTAACAAACTATACAACCTGTAACAGGTAACAAACTATTTATACAACCTGTAACAGGTAACAAACTATACAACCTGTAACAGGTAACAAACTATATAACCTGTAACAGGTAACAAACTATACAACCTGTAACAGGTAACAAACTATACAACCTGTAACAGGTAACAAACTATACAACCTGTAACAGGTAACAAACTATACAACCTGTAACAGGTAACAAACTATACAACCTGTTACTGGTAACAAACTATACAACCTGTAACAGGTAACAAACTATACAACCTGTAACAGGTAACAAACTATACAACCTGTAACAGGTAACAAACTACAACCTGTAACAGGTAACAAACTATACAACCTGTAACAGGTAACAAATTATTTATACAACCTGTAACAGGTAACAAACTATATAACCTGTAACAGGTAACAAACTATTTATACAACCTGTAACAGGTAACAAACTATACAACCTGTAACAGGTAACAAACTATACAACCTGTAACAGGTAACAAACTAACTATACTGTAACAGGTAACAAACTATATACAACCTGTAACAGGTAACAAACTATTTATACAACCTGTAACAGGTAACAAACTATACAACCTGTAACAGGTAACAAACTATACAACCTGTAACAGGTAACAAACTACAACCTGTAACAGGTAACAAACTATACAACCTGTAACAGGTAACAAACTATTTATACAACCTGTAACAGGTAACAAACTATACAACCTGTAACAGGTAACAAACTATTTATACAACCTGTAACAGGTAACAAACTATACAACCTGTAACAGGTAACAAACTATACAACCTGTAACAGGTAACAAACTATACAACCTGTAACAGGTAACAAACTATACAACCTGTAACAGGTAACAAACTATACAACCTGTAACAGGTCTATACAACCTGTAACAGGTAACAAACTATACAACCTGTAACAGGTAACAAACTATACAACCTGTAACAGGTAACAAACTATATAACCTGTAACAGGTAACAAACTATACAACCTGTAACAGGTAACAAACTATACAACCTGTAACAGGTAACAAACTATTTATACAACCTGTAACAGGTAACAAACTATACAACCTGTAACAGGTAACAAACTAACAAACTATATAACAACCTGTAACAGGTAACAAACTATACAACCTGTAACAGGTAACAAACTATACAACCTGTAACAGGTAACAAACTATACAACCTGTTACTGGTAACAAACTATACAACCTGTAACAGGTAACAAACTATACAACTTGTAACAGGTAACAAACTATTTATACAACCTGTAACAGGTAACAAACTATACAACCTGTAACAGGTAACAAACTATATAACAAACTATACAACCTGTAACAGGTAACAAACTATATAACCTGTAACAGGTAACAAACAATTTATACAACCTGTAACAGGTAACAAACTATACAACCTGTAACACCTGTAACAGGTAACAAACTATACAACCTGTAACAGGTAACAAACTATACAACCTGTAACAGGTAACAAACTATACAACCTGTAACAGGTAACAAACTATACAACCTGTAACAGGTAATAAACTATTTATACAACCTGTAACAGGTAACAAACTATATAACATGTAACAGGTAACAAACTATACAACCTGTAACAGGTAACAAACTATACAACCTGTAACAGGTAACAAACTATACAACCTGTAACAGGTAACAAACTATACAACCTGTAACAGGTAACAAACTATACAACCTGTAACAGGTAACAAATTATTTATACAACCTGTAACAGGTAACAAACTATATAACCTGTAACAGGTAACAAACTATTTATACAACCTGTAACAGGTAACAAACTATACAACCTGTAACAGGTAACAAACTATATAACCTGTAACAGGTAACAAACTATACAACCTGATAACCTAACAAACTATATAACCTGTAACAGGTAACAAACTATACAACCTGTAACAGGTAACAAACTATATAACCTGTAACAGGTAACAAACTATACAACCTGTAACAGGTAACAAACTATATAACCTGTAACAGGTAACAAACTATCTATACAACCTGTAACAGGTAACAAACTATACAACCTGTAACAGGTAACAAACTATACAACCTGTAACAGGTAACAAACTATTTATACAACCTGTAACAGGTAACAAACTATACAACCTGTAACAGGTAACAAACTATACAACCTGTAACAGGTAACAAACTATTTATACAACCTGTAACAGGTAACAAACTATACAACCTGTAACAGGTAACAAACTATACAACCTGTAACAGGTAACAAACTACAACCTGTAACAGGTAACAAACTATACAACCTGTAACAGGTAACAAATTATTTATACAACCTGTAACAGGTAACAAACTATAACAAACTATACAACCTGTAACAGGTAACAAACTATACAACCTGTAACAGGTAACAAACTATAACAGGTAACAACCTGTAACAGGTAACAAACTATATGTAACAGGTAACAAACTGTAACAACCTGTAACAGGTAACAAACTATTTATAACAACCTGTAACAGGTAACAAACTATACAACCTGTAACAGGTAACAAACTATATAACAACTATACAACCTGTAACAGGTAACAAACTACAACCTGTAACAGGTAACAAACTATACAACCTGTAACAGGTAACAAACTATTTATACAACCTGTAATAGATAACAAACTATTTATACAACCTGTAACAGGTAACAAACTATACAACCTGTAACAGGTAACAGGTAACAAACTATACAACCTGTAACAAACTATATACAACCTGTAACAGGTAACAAACTATACAACCTGTAACAGGTAACAAACTATACAACCTGTAACAGGTAACAAACTATATACAACCTGTAACAGGTAACAAACTATAACAGGTAACAACCTGTAACAGGTAACAAACTATATAACCTGTAACAGGTAACAACCTGTAACAGGTAACAAACTATGTAACAGGTTATACAACCTGTAACAGGTAACAAACTACAACCTGTAACAGGTAACAAACTATTTATACAACCTGTAACAGGTAACAAACTATACAACCTGTAACAGGTAACAAACTATACAACCTGTAACAGGTAACAAACTATACAACCTAACCTGTAACAGGTAACAAACAATTTATACAACCTGTAACAGGTAACAAACTATACAACCTGGAACAGGTAACAAACTATACAACCTGTAACAGGTAACAAACTATACAACTTGTAACAGGTAACAAACTATACAACCTGTAACAGGTAACAAACTATTTATACAACCTGTGACAGGTAACAAACTATTTATACAACCTGTGACAGGTAACAAACTATTTATACAACCTGTGACAGGTAACAAACTATACAACCTGTAACAGGTAACAAACTACAACCTGTAACAGGTAACAAACTATTTATACAACCTGTAACAGGTAACAAACTATACAACCTGTAACAGGTAACAAACTATACAACCTGTAACAGGTAACAACCTGTAACAGGTAACAAACTATACAACCTGTAACAGGTAACAAACTATACAACCTGTAACAGGTAACAAACTATACAACCTGTAACAGGTAACAAACTATACAACCTGTAACAGGTAACAAACTATACAACTTGTAACAGGTAACAAACTATATAACCTGTAACAGGTAACAAATTATTTATACAACCTGTAACAGGTAACAAACTATATAACCTGTAACAGGTAACAAACTATACAACCTGGAACAGGTAACAAACTATACAACCTGTAACAGGTAACAAACTATACAACTTGTAACAGGTAACAAACTATACAACCTGTAACAGGTAACAAACTATACAACCTGTAACAGGTAACAAACTATACAACCTGTAACAGGTAACAAACTATACAACCTGTAACAGGTAACAAACTATACAACCTGTTACTGGTAACAAACTGATCTGTAAAGTTGAATAAAGGAACACTGACCCTTTAATGACTACTACTGAACATTATTATCCTGTAGAGAGACTAACAAAGATATTCTTACTGTCAGTGGCTCTGCGTACTGTGGGACAATGAAATATAATTTGAGGAGCTAAACATTAATGTGTATAGATGGACTGATCACCAGGTATGGACAAAAATATCAGCCAATAAGCTGACAAGAATTCTGTTTTGTCTACTTAAGGAGTTGCTACCTGAGTTGAGATTTGAGGAAAAGATTGTGCCCTCTGTGGTTTAAATTTATAATTTGGTAGCAGATGACAGAAATTTGCATTTATAAAATTTTGTGAAAATGTAAAGTTTAAAACACATTTTAACATCTGTGGGTCAGATTAAGACAGATGTAAATTGTGTTTTTCCCTAATTGGGTGGTTTGGTTCACTTGTAAACTTTCGATCGTTGACTTCTGAAGGTGATAACAGTCCGAGATGCCATTTAACTTACTATATTACCCCATTTGTAGAATGAATTTGACAGGTCTGTTTCTGTAAACTAGATAGTTGTCTCTTGTGTTGAACTTAATACTATAAGCTAAAATGATAAGTGATAATAAATAGTGTTTGATTGAGTTGTGTGAGTCCTTATAACTAGGATTTGGTTTATTGGTTGATAGATATGGTAGTTATACATCATTACTTCCTGCCTAAATTGATTGTTACCAACCCACTTACTTGATACCATCCTTTCCACTGCACCCTTTACATTCACTTCCTGTAAATTTTGCTTGGTTTCGATGTGGAAGAGGCTGACTCGTGATTGGTCCTTGTACGATACCCATAATCCCACACCGGATCGAACCATCTCCATGATCTCTGATCCTCCTTCATTGGAGCTCATTCTCACCTTCTCCTGAAACATCACATATAATAATTATATATACATATAAAATATGATTTCCAAAATATAGAAATAATAGGATTTCTGTTACACAAGGTTTTCACAAACTTTCTTCTCTCTCATACCTGTTTATCATCTCATTTTAAAACAGGTTTTGGTAAAAGTCAAAATACAATCTGTGCTTTGTAATCAGGACTGGTGATTAACTGAAAAATTAACAGGAAATGTTTACAAACCGCAATCATTAACTCTGTGATTAGGAAATTACAGGTCCTGACTTTGGTACACTGTACAACACATCCTCTTGGTATGACCAATGTATGCACTTAGTGTCATTGTCCTACTTCAAATGAAAGCAAACTTATTCTACAGACACACAATTTAACAAAGGGCCATCACTCTGTATTTAAAAAACTGCTGTCCCAATCTTTTGTACACATTATTTAAGCATGACTTCTGAATACACTATGTTTCATTTTGCTAGTTTAACTGCATGCAAACTGATGGTACGCACAAAAAATTTTAACTAAAGGACAATAACTCTGTAATTAAAGGGTTTGCTGCTCCTGATACACTGCACAATGTCATTGTATGACTAATGTTTCTCTTGATAAATATGGAGTTATGGGCCTTGAATAAAGCACACTGCACATTGTCTTTGTATGACTAATATTTCTCTTGGTAAATATGGAGTTATGGGCCTTGAATAAAGCACACTGCACATTGTCTTTGTATGACTAATGTTTCTCTTGGTAAATATGGAGTTATGGGCCTTGAATAAAGCACACTGCACATTGTCTTTGTATGACTAATATTTCTCTTGGTAAATATGGAGTTATGGGCCTTGAATAAAGCACACTGCACATAACCTTAACAGAACAAAGATTAAAATATTGTATTACATAGCATCATCATCTTGACAGTAAGTTTTCACAGATAAATGAATAGATAGTGTCATTTGATTCTGATGAAGTCAGCAGAGAGCTTACACTGTATGTATTTTCCTCATACTGTATAATGTAGACATAGTCCCGACACGATAACCAAATCTCCTCCTCCATCACCAGGATACTACGGATTGGCATACTATCAATCGGTGTTATCTTTGGTGAACGAAAGTTCCATCTCCCTTCTGAAAGAATATTTTATAATAATAAAAATTCACGGCTTCAACCACAACGGTTACTGTATTTATTACCGATAAAATCACAATGGAAAAGCCATTTATGTTTTCTGTCTGTCAATTTCAACTAAATTTATTCAGAAGTACATAACCAGTAGAAGATTAGAGTGTGACATTTCCATGACTACACGGTCACCTTCATCTTATAACACAACCAGAAGAAGACCAGAGTGTGATGGTTCCAGGACTACACTGTCACCTTAATCAAACAAAGGACCAGTGTTCTAGCACTGATGTACATAGTGTACTAGAGATTTCCTTCTTAACTTAATTGAGTGCCCTCCTTTACTAGAGATTTCCTCCTTAACTTAATTGAGTGCCCTCCTTTACTAGAGATTTCCTCCTTAACTTAATTGAGTGCCCTCCTTTACTAGAGATTTCCTCCTTAACTTAATTGAGTGCCCTCCTTTACTAGAGATTTCCTCCTTAACTTAATTGAGTGCCCTCCTTTACTAGAGATTTCCTCCTTAACTTAATTGAGTGCCCTTCTTTACTAGAGATTTCCTCCTTAACTTAATTGAGTGCCCTCCTTTACTAGAGATTTCCTCCTTAACTTAATTGAGTGCCCTCCTTTACTAGAGATTTCCTCCTCAACTTAATTGAGTTGTCCTTTAGTTGAAATTTTCCCCTTAACTCAGGTGAGATGTTTTCCGTTATTTCAATAGCACCACCTGAGAAAATGAAAACTAAGACACCAGGGTATTCCACAATACTGTATAGCAGATTATAATTTCATGAGGATGCTATTTTGGCTGTTTTACGCCCAGATATGTTCTGTGAAATAATAAGACTTGTGTAAATATTATCCATAATTCAATAAAACTGCCAGTACAATCTGAGGTACAATCTCCAGCATGCTCTGTAATAATCCAAGGATATTTCTACAACTACAGGTAATCACACAGATTTTGTGGCATGTGATATGGATTATTTGTAACTTGGAACAGAATATTTTTGTTTAAAGTATAACTCTTTCTCATTGTCATGAATCATTGTGATGTTTGGTAGAAAAATCAGCAATGAATGTTTGAAACTAGACATTGGGAGCTATTTTCACTAATATTAGATCTCCTCTTCCATCTAGAATTCTGATTTTATTGTTTTCAAAAAGTTTGCAAATAACCAACTTTATCTAATGTTTAAAACTGTATATGTAAAAACTAAATTTGAGTAGAAGCCAAATAAATCCATAGTTTTCTGTAAAATGTTTAAACACATAAGACAGTTGTGGTGTTACCTTCATCTCGGTCGTATATGACCAAATTTCCATTATTACATCCAACAAATACTCGGTCATCCATGGCTCGAATCACAATAGCAATGCCATGACAGAAGAAATGTGTGACTGGTTTTCTGGCCGTGGTTGACAGGTCTCTTCTTCCAGCTTCGTTAAACAAACGGAACACCATGATTCTGAAACAGATAACAAATGACATTCAAATATGTAGCAACTGTCAGAAGACAACAAAACTTAATGATTTACTAACAGTTCTCTGTCCCCTGTACTCACTGAGAGGAGACAGTAGACATCAAAACTAACAGTTCTCTGTCCCCTGTACTCACTGAGAGGAGACAGTAGACATCAAAACTAACAGTTCTCTGTCCCCTGTACTCACTGAGAGGAGACAGTAGACATCAAAACTAACAGTTCTCTGTCCCCTGTACTCACTGAGAGGAGACAGTAGACATCAAAAATAACAGTTTTCTGTCCCCTGTACTCACTGAGAGGAGACAGTAGACATCAAAACTAACAGTTCTCTGTCCCCTGTACTCACTGAGAGGAGACAGTAGCCATCAAAACTAACAGTTCTCTGTCCCCTGTACTCACTGAGAGGAGACAGTAGCCATCAAAACTAACAGTTCTCTGTGCCCTGTACTCACTGAGAGGAGACAGTAGCCATCAAAACTAACAGTTCTCTGTCCCCTGTACTCACTGAGAGGAGACAGTAGACATCAAAACTGAATGATTTACCAACAGTTCTCTGTCCCCTGTACTCACTGAGAGGAGACAGTAGACATCAAAACTAACAGTTCTCTGTCCCCTGTACTCACTGAGAGGAGACAGTAGACATCAAAACTAACAGTTCTCTGTCCCCTGTACTCACTGAGAGGAGACCGTAGACATCAAAACTAACAGTTCTCTGTCCCCTGTACTCACTGAGAAGAGACAGTAGCCATCAAAACTAACAGTTCTCTGTGCCCTGTACTCACTGAGAGGAGACAGTAGCCATCAAAACTAACAGTTCTCTGTGCCCTGTACTCACTGAGAGGAGACAGTAGACATCAAAACTAACAGTTCTCTGTCCCCTGTACTCACTGAGAGGAGACGGTAGACATCCAAACTGAATGATTTACCACCAGTTCTCTGTCCCCTGTACTCACTAAGAGGAGACAGTAGACATCAAAACTAACAGTTCTCTGTCCCCTGTACTCACTGAGAGGAGATGGTAGACATCAAAACTTAATGATTTACCAACAGTTCTCTGTCCCTTGTACTCACTGAGAGGAGATGGTAGACATCAAAAATAACAGTTTTCTGTCCCCTGTACTCACTGAGAGGAGACGGTAGACATCAAAACTAACAGTTCTCTGTCCCCTGTACTCACTGAGAAGAGACAGTAGCCATCAAAACTAACAGTTCTCTGTGCCCTGTACTCACTGAGAGGAGACAGTAGCCATCAAAACTAACAGTTCTCTGTGCCCTGTACTCACTGAGAGGAGACAGTAGACATCAAAACTAACAGTTCTCTGTCCCCTGTACTCACTGAGAGGAGACAGTAGACATCCAAACTGAATGATTTACCACCAGTTCTCTGTCCCCTGTACTCACTAAGAGGAGACGGTAGACATCAAAACTAACAGTTCTCTGTCCCCTGTACTCACTGAGAGGAGACAGTAGACATCAAAACTAACAGTTCTCTGTGCCCTGTACTCACTGAGAGGAGATGGTAGACATCAAAACTAACAGTTCTCTGTCCCCTGTACTCACTGAGAGGAGACAGTAGACATCAAAACTTAATGATTTACCAACAGTTCTCTGTCCCCTGTACTCACTGAGAGGAGACGGTGGACATCAAAACTAACAGTTCTCTGTCCCCTGTACTCACTGAGAGGAGACGGTAGACATCCAAACTTAATGATTTACCAACAGTTCTCTGTCCCCTGTACTCACTGAGAGGAGATGGTAGTCATCAAAAATAACAGTTCTCTGTGCCCTGTACTCACTGAGAGGAGATGGTAGACATCAAAACTAACAGTTCTCTGTCCCCTGTACTCACTGAGAGGAGACGGTAGACATCCAAACTTAATGATTTACCAACAGTTCTCTGTCCCCTGTACTCACTGAGAGGAGACCGTAGACATCAAAACTAACAGTTCTCTGTCCCCTGTACTCATTGAGAGGAGACAGTAGACATCAAAACTAACAGTTCTCTGTCCCCTGTACTCACTGAGAGGAGACGGTAGACATCAAAACTTAATGATTTACCAACAGTTCTCTGTCCCCTGTACTCACTGAGAGGAGACGGTAGACATCCAAACTGTATCCTCCACAAACGCATCCTCCGTTTCAACAGTCGCATACCCCTGGACCATCTCTACAGCCACAGCCTCCACATCCATAGCCTGGAAGGACTCCACAAGGGCAGGCTTTGTTGATTGGGTGGACACCAGCGCCACCTGTGATCGTTTCTCTGTTGTCATGACAACCCACAAATGTTGAATACCAATATCAATGGTTCCGGGGGCAGACAGAAAAACAGGTACTGCACACTTCATCTGTAGGTCAAAGGTCAGATTTGAAAGAGGAACGTATGCTGTGACAATATTAATCAATATCAACTACACCACTTAACAAACAGTTATGAACTACCAAACCTTTTCCACAGATTTATCATATTTCATTAGATTTTACACGAACCATTACTATGCAGGAGTCATTCCCAATGTTAGAATGCATTTTTAAATACTAATATATTTTAGTTGTGTAAATTTCACTCTAAAAGCCTCAAAAATGATTAAATCAGTGAAAACAAATTATGAAATGGTGAGAAGTATTGACCTGTGAATATGCATGTATATATGAATGTGCATTGATATGATTAGAAAACACGTCCACACTGGCATGCTTAAAAGAGTTACCTACCTTTGTATAGTTACGAGGCACATCCACACTGCCATGTTAACAAGAGTTACCTACCTTTGTATAGTTACGAGGCACGTCCACACTGGCATGTAAAAAAGAGTTACCTACCTTTGTATAATTACGAGGCATGTCCACACAGACAGACTTCATAAAGACTGCAGGCTGTAGAGAGTTTGTGTCCTCTGCCTTCAGCCAGCCTGGGTTGTTCTGCGGCTCTGTTCACACAAATATCACAAACATACACAAAGTGCTTACAGAGACATATCATATTGGCTTTTATACACAAAGTGCTTACAGAGACTTAAATCATATTGGCTTTTATAAACTGGGTTTTCTCCGTACAATAAGAACCTTCCAGTGCAGTTCAGACATGGTTGTATTAACCTATATATGAACCTATAATAATCATGAGTCTGAAGTCTGATAGTGCGTTTAATGTTTTCAGAAGAGTTCTGCCCTAATTTTGATATTGAGAATAGTATCCTGAATGAAGACTTGATCTATAAAACTTACCTAGAGCAAACTTAGCCATCAGGAACTCTTTACACCATTCCTGTTTCATCTCGGGAGTTGATGTTTGGAAGGTGTATCGCACATTCCTGTTAACAATACAATATTGTCAATATCATATTACAACAGTGTACCACACGTTTCTGATATACAACAGTGTACCACACATTACTGATATACAACAGTGTACCACACATTACTGATATACAACAATATACCACACATCACTGATATACAACAGTGTACCACACATTACTGATATACAACAGTATACCACACATTACTGATATACAACAGTGTACCACACATTACTGATATACAACAGTGTACCACACATTACTGATATACAACAGTGTACCACACATTACTGATATACAACAGTGTACCACACATTACTGATATACAACAGTGTATACTATATACAACAGTGTACCACACATTACTGATATACAACAGTGTATATACCACACACATTACTGATATACAACAGTGTACCACACATTACTGATATACAACAGTGTACCACACATTACTGATATACAACAGTGTACCACACATTACTGATATACAACAGTGTACCACACATTACTGATATACAACAGTGTACCACACATTACTGATATACAACAGTGTACCACACATTACTGATATACAACAGTGTACCACACATTACTGATATATATACAACAGTGTACCACACATTACTGATATACAACAGTGTACCACACATTACTGATATACAACAGTGTACCACTGATATACAACAATGTACCACACATTACTGATATACAACAGTGTACCACACATTACTGATATACAACAGTGTACCACACATTACTGATATACAACAGTGTACCACACATTACTGATATACAACAGTGTACCACTGATATACAACAGTGTACCACACATTACTGATATACAACAGTGTACCACACATTACTGATATACAACAGTGTACCACACATTACTGATATACAACAGTGTACCACACATTACTGATATACAACAGTGTACCACACATATACAACTGATATACAACAGTGTACCACACATTACTGATATACAACAGTGTACCACACATTACTGATATACAACAGTGTACCACACATTACTGATATACAACAGTGTACCACACATTACTGATATACAACAGTGTACCACACATACTACTGATATACAACAGTGTACCACACATTACTGATATACAACACATTACTGTGTACCACACATTACTGATATACAACAGTGTACCACACATTACTGATATACAACAGTGTACCACACATTACTGATATACAACAGTGTACCACACATTACTGATATACAACAGTGTACCACACATTACTGATATACAACAGTGTACCACACATTACTGATATACAACAGTGTACCACACATTACTGATATACAACAGTGTACCACACATTACTTACTGATATACAACAGTGTACCACACATTACTGATATACAACAGTGTACCACACATTACTGATATACAACAGTGTACCACACATTACTGATATACAACAGTGTACCACACATTACTGATATACAACAGTGTACCACACATTACTGATATACAACAGTGTACCACACATTACTGATATACAACAGTGTACCACACCACACATTACTGATATACAACAGTGTACCACACATTACTGATATACAACAGTGTACCACACATTACTGATATACAACAGTGTACCACACATTACTGATATACAACAGTGTACCACACATTACTGATATACAACAGTGTACCACACATTACCACACATGATATACAACAGTGTACCACACATTACTGATATACAACAGTGTACCACACATTACTGATATACAACAGTGTACCACACATTACTGATATACAACAGTGTACCACACATTACTGATATACAACAGTGTACCACACATTACTGATATACAACAGTGTACCACACATTACTGATATACAACAGTGTACCACACATTACTGATATACAACAGTGTACCACACATACAACAGTGTACCACACATTACTGATATACAACAGTGTACCACACATTACTGATATACAACAGTGTACCACACATTACTGATATACAACAATGTACCACACATTACTGATATACAACAGTGTACCACACATTACTGATATACAACAGTGTACCACACATTACTGATATACAACAGTGTACCACACATTACTGATATACAACAGTGTACCACACATTACTGATATACAACAGTGTACCACACATTACTGATATACAACAGTTTACCACACATTACTGATATACAACAGTGTACCACACATTACTGATATACAACAGTGTACCACACATTACTGATATACAACAGTGTACCACACATTACTGATATACAACAGTGTACCACACATTACTGATATACAACAGTGTACCACACATTACTGATATACAACAGTGTACCACACATTACTGATATACAACAGTGTACCACACATTACTGATATACAACAGTGTACCACACATTACTGATATACAACAGTGTACCACACATTACTGATATACAACAGTGTACCACACATTACTGATATACAACAGTGTACCACACATTACTGATATACAACAGTGTACCACACATTACTGATATACAACAGTGTACCACACATTACTGATATACAACAGTGTACCACACATTACTGATATACAACAGTGTACCACACATTTCTGATATACAACAGTGTACCACACATTACTGATATACAACAATGTACCACACATTACTGATATACAACAGTGTACTACTGATATACAACAGTGTACCACACATTACTGATATACAACAGTGTACCACACATTACTGATATACAACAGTGTACCACACATTACTGATATACAACAGTGTACCACACATTACTGATATACAACAGTGTACCACACATTACTGATATACAACAGTGTACCACACTGATATACAACAGTGTACCAACAGTGTACCACACATTACTGATATACAACAATGTACCACACATTACTGATATACAACAATGTACCACACATTACTGATATACAACAGTGTACCACACATTACTGATATACAACAGTGTACCACACATTACTGATATACAACAGTGTACCACACATTACTGATATACAACAGTGTACTACACATTACTGATATACAACAGTGTACCACACATTACTGATATACAACAGTGTACCACACATTACTGATATACAACAGTGTACCACACATTACTGATATACAACAGTGTACCACACATTACTGATATACAACAGTGTACCACACAGTACTGATATACAACAGTGTACCACACATTACTGATATACAACAGTGTACCACACATTACTGATATACAACAGTGTACCACACATTACTGATATACAACAGTGTACCACACATTACTGATATACAACAGTGTACCACACATTACTGATATACAACAGTGTACCACACATTACTGATATACAACAATGTACCACACATTACTGATATACAACAGTGTACCACACATTACTGATATACAACAATGTACCACACATTACTGATATACAACAGTGTACCACACATTACTGATATGTACCACACATTACTGATATACAACAGTAGACTTACTTGAACATATCATGGACGTTTATTGTACAGCTATTAAGAAGTTGTAGCTGTTGGTCCTTGACTTGAATCATTTGTTGAAGGTCTCGTGTTACCTCAATCACAACATCCTCACTCAAACCCTGTCAAATAGTAAAAATAAGAATTTTAAAAACTTTCATACTTTATTCGAATTCATTGAATGAGTCTAATATTTTGTTCAGTCCTGATTTTCTCTTCTTTATCTTAGTCAATAAAACACAGTTGACTCGAACACTGTGGAGTGGAATGCTGCGTTTGTGTCGAACATATTTTGTGGTCCGCCCCTTCTAAATTTTATCTAGTTTTCCTTTCTTGTGTCAATCATTCAGACTCCACCATCTCTCAGGTAAAAATGTCCTGGCTCTGGTTCAAATGACTTAATGTGATTGGTCAGTCTTGTCTGTGTTAACAAGTCCTATTGAAATTTTTGATTGAACATTAATTCCTGCCTTTACACAGGTGCACTGGTGAAAGTTTGAATTTATGACGAATTAGGCAACCAAACTTAAAACAAACTACACAGTAGTCTGTTAAGCGTAAATCTATCCTGTTTTGTTATATGGCTGCCAGAAACCAAATGGAAAAAACAAGCGATGACTTCCCTGTCGATAATTAATAAAAATACTTCTTTGTCATTGACACATTAGTTTATGATTTTAAAAATGGGGCAAAGCCACAATTGGCCAGGTTGTGGGATGAGTGCAATGTTATATGGTATTTATAAGACAGTTAAGGGTGTTTCATTTATTGAGTATGTAGAATATTTGTTATAAGAGAGAAAGTTTGGTTGTATTTTATGAATTGGTGCAATTTGAAGTAGTTTCTAAGAAACTGTGATAACAAGAAAAGTTTCAGAAAGTGACTAAGTTCCAAAGCCCGAAAAATCCAGAAAAATGTCCGGAATGAATCTATAATAGGAGGTGCACATCTTCAACATATATATAAACATCCTACAAAGTTTCAAGCTTCTACGCCAAAAACACTAGGAGGAGTTGATTCTACAAAACTGGTACCCCTTTTCCCTGCCCGCCTGCCCGCCGACATTCACCACACTATAACCCAGATATGCACTATGTGCAACCCGGCTAAATATATTTTCTGGATATACATGTACGTATTCAAAGTGCAAATTTTTTTTTATTCTTTTTTATAGTTATGGAGTTATGATCTTACTGTGCTTGTATGTGTAAAGTTATGCTTCACTGAACCTTTGTCTTTTCGTAACCCCACCTCAGTGCTATCGATGTTATATCAATGTAGAATATTCATGAGTATGCATTTATTGAGTTTTGTTTGATAATATTAAATTTTTTGTTTTATATTCATACCTATAGCTGTTTATTTCAATAAAAGATATCATTAGTGTATAAAAAATATAAGATGTTTTCATTTCTTTGTCACTTATTCATTACTGTCATGCCATGCTATGAGACACGTATCCAGTCAACAACTGACGATAATAGGGCTAATCTTCGAAGCACAATGTCTCCATCTGTAGAAACACAGCTAAGACAAACCATCAGATAAGTCAAATATTTCATTTGGTTCCATCAACTTTGACTTATCCAAGTTTACTGTATGTCATCAATCACAAAACTGGCCTGTTGTGTCATGTTACAGAGTCACGTCATTAATATCATAACACAAGTCTTCTAACACTACCATGGTATGTTTATAATTTGGGGAATAATCATCATTGTGGAAAAAGTGGAATTTCTGGTCAATTTTGAGTAATGGTCAGCCATTTTCGTCAGAATTTAGACAAAGGATAGGGTAAGAATATACAGGTGAGGAGGGGTGTTTCCCATTTACTGAAGAATGCTTAATACCAAATTTTGGCAAAATACAATCATTCCTACAGGAGTAGTAGGATTTTAAAGAATTTGCTCTATTTCACCTACTAGGCCTGGCACCTCCCATCCAATTGGGCTGTGATCCACCATTTATACAAAATTGATTCCCCTTCTCCCAACAATGCTTCAGATCAAATTTGGGCAAAATCCCATCTTTCCTACAGGAGAAGTAGGATTTTAAATTATTTACCAGATTTCCCCTTTTGGGCCCCGCCCCTCAGGCTCTGGACTGCTGGGACACACTATTTACACAAAAAATGTATTTCCTTTAAGTATGCTTCTGACCAAATTCGGTTAAATCCCCTCAGACTTACAGGATAAGTAGCATTTGTTAATAAAGAATGAACGATGGATGACAGAGTATACCTATAGTTCACTTCACCCTTTGGGTCAGGTGAGCTAAAAAAGCTAAATAAAAGTCTGCACATTGTGTATATAAGTCATATGAGAAGGTGTATTCATACCTCATACGTATTCTGTAGCGATGAGACCAGGGCACCAATCTTACCAAGGACAGAAAGGTCATGCATCATATTGCTGAGGTCGTTGTACAAGTGGAAGGGGTCATCCTCTGGTTTTACTGCCCAGTAGAAACACAATTTTAATTACATTATGTCACAAACATTCTCAAAGGTTTTTAAACACATGATTTTAGTGGGGTTTTTTTTTCTTTTATTGTCTGTTAACTCTCAAATAATGATTTGATCGAGAATGGAATCTGAACTATTTTCACATCCACGATACAATGGTTTGTTGTAATCATTGTTATATCCTAAACATCATTTTGTCTCTTACTGAAGGTAAACAAACAAAAGTAAACAATAAATACATACTCCTGTAACATCTTGGGTAGTGCTCACTGAATGTGAGTATGTACAAGTGACAATCAGGTTAAATCCCCACTGAAACTCGTATCTATACATACAACACACTCTCACAGACAAAAGAGCCATATACAATATGTTATGGGTGGTATGTTTATCAGGCAGTACATACATGGAGTCTTTGTCTGTATTGAGGTACGTCGATTAGAAGTGAAAATGTTACTCTGCATATCAGGAGAGATAGAGCTATCCTTTAACTCTAAATTCACCAGAGCACAACAACTTTTCACCTTGAGTTGTTCTGCAGTTCGTCGGTCCTCAGTATCCCTACAATTAACAAAGGACCTTAAACAATGCTGAAATATATTTCATAACTTTAGAACTTGTTTCCATGGCAACATGTAATATAATAACATTAATTAAAAATTACATCAAATTAAGATATAAAACAATATTAGATGATCCTCAATTACAAACTTTATATTACAATGTATTTTTTAAGTTAACTAAGTGCCATATCCTAATATAAATTCCTTTATCTAAATTTTCTTCTGAACTAAGCTTTTCTGTGAACTTCATTAATAGTTACCCTACTGTGAATTGTCCCTTTGCTTAATTGCAAGTTATCCTTTACTAAAAATTTTCCCAAACCTAATTGTGAGTTACCCTTTACCAAAAATTTTCCCTAACTTAATTGTGAATTACTCTTTGCTAAAAAATTTCCCTACCCTAATTGTGAGTTACCCTTTACTAAAAATTTTCCCTAACTTAATAGTGAGTTACCCTTTACCAAACATTTTCTCTAACTTAATTGTGAGTTACCCTTTACTAGAAATTTTCTCCAACTTAATTGTGAGTTACCCTTTACTAGAAATTTTCCCTAACTTTATTGTGAGTTACCCTTTACTAGAAATTTTCCCTAACTTAATTGGGAGTTACCCTTTACTAGAAATTTTCCCCAACCTAATTGTGAGTTACCCTTTACTAAAAATTTTCCCTAACTTAATTGTGAGGTACACTTTACTAGAAATTTTCCCTAACTTAATTGGGAGTTACCCTTTACTAGAAATTTTCCCCAACTTAATTGTGAGTTACCCTTTACTAGAAATTTTCCCTAACTTTATTGTGAGTTACCCTTTACTAGAAATTTTCCCTAACTTAATTGGGAGTTACCCTTTACTAGAAATTTTCCCTAACTTAATTGGGAGTTACCCTTTACTAGAAATTTTCCCTAACTTAATTGTGAGTTACCCTTTACTAGAAATTTTCCCCAACTTAATTGTGAGTTACCCTTTACTAGAAATATTCCCTAACTTAATTGGGAGTTACCCTTTACTAGAAATTTTCCCTAACTTAATTGTGAGTTACCCTTTACTAGAAATTTTCCATAACTTTATTGTGAGTTACCCTTTACTAGAAATTTTCCCTAACTTAATTGGGAGTTATCCTTTACTAGAAATTTTCCCTAACTTTATTGTGAGGTACCCTTTACTAGAAATTTTCCCTAACTTAATTGTGAGGTACCCTTTACTAGAAATTTTCCCTAACTTAATTGGGAGTTACCCTTTACTAGAAATTTTCCCTAACTTAATTGTGAGTTACCCTTTACTAGAAATTTTCCCTAACTTAATTGTGAGTTATCCTTTACTAGAAATTTTCCCTAACTTTATTGTGAGTTACCCTTTACTAGAAATTTTCCCTAACTTAATTGTGAGGTACCCTTTACTAGAAATTTTCCCTACCAGCTTTATATTACAATGTATATAGAATGAGTCCTATATACTGAGTACTTGTACTGGGACTGAGACGGTGTCAGATTGGTATATAAACGTACCATGTATACTTTCATAGACTCTGAAAGTCCTACTCCATCAGGAGGGAATCATTTAAAATTCAAATTAGTCATAGACATAGTAACACTATACCAATAAAGGAACATCACACTGGATACAGGCTGTAAGTCCTATTAACAAAGCATCCTGTAAACATATTATACTGATAAAGACCTTTAATGTTTACAATACAGAAGTCATATTCTGTAAACACATATCTAAGCAGTATTCTTATACTTTTTGCGCTGTAATTGTTGGCTGAAAGAAAGTCCCCACTAACAGCAGTTTCTGTCTATAACAATATTTTTGGACATAAATTCATAATTTTGCAAATTTGCCAAAAAACAATGATCTGCTAAAATTTCCTTATGCCCAATTAGTATGTTTTAAAGTAAATGAGACATGTTTGCCCTTGAATGTACAGATATATACCTGTATCCAATCACCATGAGACAATCGTCCATTAAGATGAGGCGCCGTTTCTTCATCTGAATCTCTCCAGAGGCATTGGCCTTGGTCTACAAACATACACAGCTATATTGTACTATCAACCAGAGTTAGGAATACCTCATACCCTTACAAGAACTTATATCTTATAACCTACTGGAGACCTTGATTTCATCTTTTATTATAACCTACTGGAGACCTTGATTTCGTCAATGGAGATTTTCATAAATGGAAGAACGGCAATAACAGACACTTTAAAACTAATACATACACATCTTTTATAAAGAAAGATTAACCAATATGCCCAGGCATCACCAGTGAGTAGGTTATTTCTATCAGACTGACTGAATTCGCCTCTAAAAATATGGCGATCCAAATGAATTTTCAACTTCAGAGGCAAGACCAGTCGGCCTAATAATACTGACTAACTCATTGGTGACGCTGGTCTATGTTGTGTTTGAAACAACCTTTCTGATATCTTATTTTATCACTCAGTATAACTATACTAAATAGGAAAAATTGTTTCAGTTTGAATATCTTTATTACACGACATGACAATACCAACATACCATCTGTTCAAAGTCATCCTGACGAAGGAGTTTTTGAGAGCGTTCAGGATATGTCCTGCCAAGCTTTTTGAGGAGACGCTTTGCCTCCAGGTACTGTTCACTGTCACGCTTGCTCTCATTAAGGCGGTGTGCCACATTCTCTAATTCAGTGAGAGCTCTCTGTAGGGCACATCGGTCATGGTGGTTCGGTGGTGTGTACTTCAGCAGGTCCTATGTACAAAGTAATATGATTCTACAGCTATATTAACATTTTCCTCGAGGAATGACTTTATACAACTCATCTTGAAACTTGAAACTATAGAGGACATTTTAATTTACAAAATATCATCAAGATTCTAAAAATTTTACATCTAAAAAAATATCTTTAAGACATGAATGTTTCCGCTTCAATGCATATCATTACCACTGTTTGATGAATTCATCAAAGTCATCAAATGTGAACTTTAACCCTTCAACCTTGACTGATGACACATTAATATGATTAGAGGTCAGACTATAATGATTCTATGGGGGATAAATATTAACCAAATCTGTGAGATCTCAGGTTTAGTTCTTAAGACATTGAATCGGAAAGGGATGGCATGGACTAAAACAAACACGAAAATATGGTTTAGGACACAGTATTTAAAACAACATCTCATTACAGTTTTGTATAGTTATCTGATGAACAACGCATTATCTAAGGGAAATAACTGCAAATCTAACATGTATGGCATACCTGCATAAACATGATAAACTGAGGAAATCTCTGGACTGGCTTTACCATCAGACCAAATATGGACAGACGGTCAGAAGTGGTTTGCTCTTGTTCCTGAAATAAGTAATTTACATGACTCAGTCAATAGAAATCAGGTTTACATGTCTCATTTACAAAAACAACTCTGCTCCATATCCCCTTGCGTGTTGTAATGTTGGTGAGCTCTCTAAATATCACTTAGTAAAAGGCCAAATAGACCTGTATCACTTATCTGTTCTGTAGAATATACAGAGGTGTTGGAAGTTATTCATTAATCCATTAATTTGTATCTGGTATTACCAGCACTCAACAACCTTTCTTTTAAGTAGGTTTTAAGACTCTAAGCCTCATGGTTATTTAGAAGATGTTTTTCAGAGGCTTAAACACATTTGACTGTGATGACATTCAAGTGAAATCACATGATGTCTTTCATTTCATCATGCTACTGAGTTAATAAAATAACATCAGAGCTCACCTTTATCTAATGTTCTTAAAAACAAGAATTACAACACATATTACTCATGTGACCTCAAACCTGATGTCATTCATTTGAACATAACCCCCAAATGCCAACATTCCTTCTAATATAATTTAATAATATCAACCTTCCTAGGACATAACACCACCCTACAAAGTCAACATTCCTCCTTAAAACCAGACAATGTCAACAACTACAACTTCAACAATCGTGTAACATAACAACTTAATGTCACCATTCCTAAAACGAAACACCACAATGTAAACATTCCATGTCAACATTCCTTAACACAACACCACAATGTAAACACTCCTAAACACAACACCACAATGTCAACATTTCTTAACACAACACCACAATGTAAACATTCCTTAACACAACACCACAATGTCAACATTCCTTAACACAACACCACACTGTAAACACTCCTCAACACAACATCCCAATGTCAAAATTCCTTTGACATGACACTTCAATGTCAACATTCCTTAACACAACACCACAATGTAAACATTCCTTAACACAACACCATAATGTCAACATTCCTTAACACAACATCACACTCCTAGACACAACACCACAATGTCAACATTCCTTAACACAACATCACACTGTAAACACTCCTAGACACAACACAACAATGTCAACATTCCTTAACACAACACCACAATGTCAACATTCCTTAACACAACACCACAATGTAAACATTCCTAGACACAACACAACAATGTCAACATTCCTTAACACAACACCACAATGTAAACATTCCTTAACACAACACCACACTGTAAACACTCCTCAACACAACATCCCAATGTCAAAATTCCTTTGACATGACACTTCAATGTCAACATTCCTTAACACAACACCACAATGTAAACATTCCTTAACACAACACCATAATGTCAACATTCCTTAACACAACACAACAATGTCAACATTCCTTAACACAACACCACAATGTAAACATTCCTAGACACAACACAACAATGTCAACATTCCTTAACACAACACCACAATGTAAACATTCCTTAACACAACACCACACTGTAAACACTCCTCAACACAACATCCCAATGTCAAAATTCCTTTGACATGACACTTCAATGTCAACATTCCTTAACACAACACCACAATGAAAACATTCTCTATAACAAAACATCACAATGTCAACATTCCTCAATACAACCCTACCATGTCATCATTTCGTTAACACAATCTCACAATGACAACATTCCTATGACACAACATCCCAATGTCAACATTCCTATGACATCACTTTTCATTGTTAACATGCTTATAAACTTCCCATTAAATTCTCGATACATTAGAGATCAGTGAATATTATAATCATTGAAGATTGCATGTCAAGGTCATGCCAAACATCAGTTTTACATACAAACATTAGGCAGCACATGTTTTTATTTGAAGGATTTGCAGATTGAGGTAAACAGACACAGTGACAGACCTGCCAGGAGACGGAGAGGAAAATTGGATAGACCAGCAGTAAGTTATAAGCAAATCTTGTATACCTACATGTTTACTGTACCTACCTGTTTACTTATCACCTCGTCTCATTTCATTTGTAGACACTTGTATCATTATGACCCTAGTTATCTGACCCCAGTCACATAGTTTCCTGTTAACCTGTGACCCTACTTACCTGCTAACCTTTAACCCTTATTACCTGTTCATGTTTGACCCTCATAACCTGTTTACCTTTGACCTTAGTTGCTAGTTTACCTCTGGCACTAGTTACCTGTTTACGATCCTAGTTAACCGTTTATCTCTAATCCTAGTTACCAGCTTACATCTGACCCTAGTTACCAGTGTTACCTCTAACCCTAGTTACCAGTGTTACCTCTGACCCTAGTTACCAGTGTTACCTCTGACCCTAGTTACCAGTGTTACCTCTGACCCTAGTTACCAGTGTTACCTCTGACCCTGGTTACTATTGTTACTTCTGACCCTAGTAACCAGTGTTACCTCTGACCCTAGTTACCAGTGTTACCTCTGACCCTAGTTACCAGTGTTACTTCTGAACCTGGTTACTAGTGTTACTTCTGACCCTAGTAACCAGTGTTACCTCTGACCCTAGTTACCAGTGTTACCTCTGAACCTAGTAACCAGTGTTACCTCTGACCCTAGTTACCAGTGTAACTTCTGACCCTAGTAACCAGTGTTACCTCTGACCCTAGTTACCAGTGTTACCTCTGACCCTAGTAACCAGTGTTACCTCTGACCCTAGTTACCAGTGTTACCTCTGACCCTGGTTACCAGTGTTACTTCTGACCCTAGTTACCAGTGTTACCTCTGACCCTAGTTACCAGTGTTACTTCTGACCCTAGTTACCCATTCACTTGAATTTTTGAAAAATATCTAATCATTAAAGACAACATCTAAGTTGTCTCCCTTTCTAGCTAACACTTATTCTACTCTCTCTCACAGTGAGCAGCTAATTTATGATAATTCCAACATCAAGACTATAAGTATGATCATGTCCTAGAGTTTAGACAAGTGTGTAAAATAACACTAACAATGTTAAACTTTTTCAGTAGGATTAAGGACTAATACACACTTAACAAAAGTAGAAAAAAGTGAAGTGTTTAATATGTGTCATCCACCTTTAATATTCTTCCTGATTCTAGTGAATTTCCAAATTTATACAATACTATGGTTAAATAGTAAATAGTGTGTAATCAGGGAGTTTTAGGTGACCCAGAACTGTATAGGATTACAGCGTAGTTATAGTTTTATTGTCAGATAAACAATACATGTAGTGTGTAATCAGGGAGTTTTAGGTGACCCAGAACTGTACAGGATTACAGCGTAGTTATAGTTTTATTGTCAGATAAACAATACATGTAGTGTGTAATCAGGGAGTTTTAGGTGACCCAGAACTGTACAGGATTACAGCGTAGTTATAGTTTTATTGTCAGATAAACAATACATGTAGTGTGTAATCAGCGAGTTTTAGGTGGCCCAGATAAACAATATATGTTTATTACATTTTATTACATTGATTTCATTTAGACTAGCCACACAGCAGGCACTCTGGCTGGGGAGGAGAGCAGTCTTATACTAAAAGCAACAAAATATAAAACAAATATCCTACAAGAAACATTACATGTAGTAGGGAGGTAAGGAAACATATCATATAAATCCTAGAGTAGAGCTACCCAATATGTGCTTCCACCTAGGATCGAACCCAAGACATCCAGGTCTCTAGCCGAATACTCTACCACTGAGCTAAAGGGGAATTCCCTCTAGCGAGAACTAAAGGTTGACCATAATCCTATGTACAATTAAAATATGGCCTCTTTTTAATGTGTTCACCCCCAAATATTACATCAATCCAGATCCCGACTCCCTGTCACCACAGAAAGGGCCATGTTAACCATCAGTTCGTAGAATTAGAGATCAATTTACTACTATTCTACTTATCCTAGTATTACAAAAATGCATGGACTTTTTTCTGTATGTAATGTTAACGTTTTATCAAATCTCAGTAAATTTCTTGAAAAGCTTGATAATCTATTGAATGTACGTAGCTAAAATAATATTATGTACGTAATTGTTTACCGCCATGCCAAGAATGTTTCTTTGTAATCTGACCTCTCGTAACATACTTTGTATGTCTGAGAGTACCAATAAAATCTGAAGATCTGTAACAGGAAACACCTCTGATCTACCCCGTGTCACCTCCAGGTCTCTAGTTGGACACTCTACTTTATGTACAATTACAATCTGCCACACATACAAAGATAGGGAAATGTTTACCTAATCAATGCATTTAACCCTAGCCTTGTAGCATGTGGTGAATTCAACGAGGCAAGGATATTGAGACAGATAATAAAACTATGAATTGAACATAAAGCAAATGACTTGAAAAAGTCAGATGAAGAAATTTTGGCAAGCTAGATTTATGCATGAAACTATCAAATGGCCTTATTTCGTCAACACTAGTTTTTTTTTTTATTTCAGAATATATTAATTTTCTGTATCAGTCATAGGTTAACTGTATACAGGTAGTGATACACAGAACATTCAGTATCAGTAGTTACATGCAGCAGATTCTGAAGTGATGTGATAACAGCTTGCCTAAGGTTACAAACAAGCATTGCTCTATTACATATTAAAGCAAAAACTCAAGTCACCCTTGTCACATAATACCTGAATCACAAGAAAGTTTGGGTCTCGTCGTAAAGCCTGTATGTCGATGGCCTTCTTGTTGCGCGCACCAGGTGATATATCACAGCTACCTGATTGGCTTACCTCATTCCCACATTGCTATGGTAACAATGCCATGAATATTCAGATAAGATGTTTCATATGAGAACCAGTTTTCTTTATAAAAGTCCTTACTTTTGCATTGTGTTTCAGAGTTTTAACTTTCAATTTAAAATAAAAAATCTAAATGTTATTTCCCCAATAAAATCTTCAAACCTTGAAAGAACATGACAGACAGTTTGTTTGTAAGTAAAGGCACAAAGAATATCAATTCTACAGAACCAATAGTGAGCAGTAATTATATATTGAAAAAGATTTCCACAGACAGATGGAATTTCAGAGTCCAAGAAAATAACACTTAATACCAAGCCATATATATAGAACCAAATAAATAAAAAAGTATCAAGCTTACTGGTAACAAGATTATGTTGTATGAGTCAAACTATTGTCCGTTACTATGGCAATGGTGTTACTATTTTATCACCACAGTGACATATGTACTATCACCATGGTGATGGTGTTACTATTTAATCACCACAGTGACATATGTACTATCACCATGGTGATGGTGTTACTATTTTATCACCACAGTGACATATGTACTATCACCATGGTGATGGTGTTACTATTTTTCATTGTGGTGATACTTCTAAGTATACTTTAAACCATATGATCATTATGATAATGGTGCTACTACAATATCTTATCACCATGGTGATGGTGCTAAGTCGCACCTGTAACCATATAACCATCATGGTCTTTTTGCTACAATACAGCTATGATGGTGTTTGAATATACCTGTAAGAATTTACGAATTCCCGGATTTGCGTTCTGAGCCCGTTTGATCTCCTCCATTGCAGTAGAGAACTTGTTTACATAGTCACTGTATACATCCACAACCATGGCCCTAGAAAACTGTAAAAACATCAAATTTTCATCATCACATCAACAATAACAAAATCAATATTCAAAAACTGTAAAGGTTAAGTACAACAGATATGAAACAAACAGTAACACTGTGTAAAAAGCAGAACATAGTTGATTTGAAATTTGGATCAGATATTGAGATAGTGTGTTCTTGATCTCTAAACAAAGTATTAACCATTGAACCATATGGTTTATGTAACTTATTGGGAAAAAGTGAACAAGAAAATTGTTTGCTTTTTTTATGAAAACTTTAATAAGAAATCACATACAGAAGCTGTGAAAATGTCTCCAATCTTTTCTGTGGTGTCCCAGTTTTTGACACATTCTGCCAGCTCCAGTTGGAACATTAGGTGATAGTTTAGGATCTCATGTGTCTTGTTAAATACATCCTTGACTTTTGCCTCCTTAGCCTCCAACCCAAAAGTGGAAAGCAGAGGTTCCTTATATACCTAAACACCGAGAAATAAAAATATAGAAATACTTTGTGGTTCAGGTTTTAGTAATCAAAATCATTAATACCAGTTTATGTAACTGGTACATTTTATCATCTGTAAGTGACATCATCACCATATTAATTTTTTAGAAACAGTGTCCTAGATTTCACGTAGAAACATTTTTAATCCAATAATGGTATATTGCCATATAGTTATCACTCAATAAGCCTGCACTTGGCGTTAAGCCCACCCACATCTGTAGCAGTTCAATAAGATATACAAACACATGCAATGTTATTAACTAGTAATAAGCTCGCTCCTAACATTGAACCAGAAGTAAAGTATTACAGTATATTGACAATGTATCAAAATAGGATTTCCTGGAAGTCACTGACTTATTGTTTCTGAACTGTTTCTTTGAAAGGAAAATATGGATGGACAGATGGACAAATTGACAGATGGACAGATGGACAGATGGACAGATAGACAGATATCGTGCTATCAATAGGCCATCTCTGATGTAGAGCACCAATTACAACCAAAGTAAAGGAATTACTGACATTTCAACTTTTTCAATCTTTATATCATAATTACTCAGTAGATATATCTAATCCAGTATATGCCTATCATTACAAGAGATCTCCGAGGGATCTTGGTGCCCACCATTGTTGGATCTTTATATTCTCTGTGAAAGTTGGATATTTTCCCTTCTTTTCTCTTCTCTGTTTTTGCTCTGAACGATACAATATTTGAACATGACTTTGCAGAAATTGTGATAATAATCTTCACCTGCCAAATCAAAAATAGCCTCCTGGAAGCCATTTTGTTTCTCCTGATCAGTCCCAAAATCAAAAGAGCACAAGGAGAGACCAAAGGGAACATATATATAAAATTTGAGAGATATCCATTCAATACTTTTTAAGAAATAACAATCTTTACTAGGTGAAAACCATTTTATTTTTTTTGATCAGTCTCGCCCCCAAAAATCTATTGTAAAATTGTGTCTATAAATGACTTACATTGACCACTCGGTTCAGAGAATCTATATAGGATTTCTCACTGTTGATTATGCTCTCTACAACCTTCCTCTTCTTGTTCTACAACATTAAGGATCAAGTTCGTTAAGATTGGCACTCATGATAAATATTTTGTCATACTCCTAAAATATATACAATATGGAACAGTTAACCAGTAAGAGAGTGAGGTCTGTAACTATACCTGTAACTGTGTGAGGTATGTAACTATACCTGTAACTGTGTGAGGTCTGTAACTATACCTGTAACTGTGTGAGGTCTGTAGCTATACTTGTAACTGTGTGAGGTCTGTAACTATACCTGTAACTGTGTGAGGTCTGTAACTATACCTGTAACTGTGTGAGATCTGTAACTTTACCTGTATCTGTGTGAGGTATATAGCTATACCTGTAACTGTGTGAGGTATGTAACTATACCTGTAACTGTGTGAGAACTGTAACTATACCTGTAACTGTGTGAGGTATGTAACTATACCTGTAACTGTGTGAGAACTGTAACTATACCTGTATCTGTGTGAGGTCTGTAGCTATACTTGTAACTGTGTGAGGTCTGTAACTATACCTGTAACTGTGTGAGATCAGTAACTTTACCTGTATCTGTGTGAGGTATATAGCTATACCTGTAACTGTGTGAGGTATGTAACTATACCTGTAACTGTGTGAGGTCTGTAATTTTACCTGTAACTGTGTGAGGTCTGTAACTATACCTGTAACTGTATGAGGTCTGTAATTTTACCTGTGTGAGGTCTGTAACTATACCTGTAACTGAGTCAGATTAGCTGGAGGAGCAGGCAGTTCTGGAGGAGGATGTCTTTTGGTGTCCAGTTTGACTGGTAGACATGGACTGTTTTCCTCTGGAGAAGATTTGTCGGTTTTCTTACTGACACTTCCTCGAATTTTCATACGGTCAAAAAGTCCTCCTTTCTGGTAAGTAAATTAGGTTCAGAACACGAACTTAATGCAAATTTTTGAGATTTTGGATAAAGTATCAGTGAAAGAAACAAGATCCCAGCAGGATCTTGGCACCTACCATTATTAATATGATCTTAGGATCTGTCCTCATTTTTTAATCTTTTCTCTTAATTACTTTAAGTTATATGAAATTTGAGAAATACTGATCCTAGCATTAGCCTTTAAAATCAAGAAGGTAACATGTCAGCAACCTGGTGTTTCTGATCAGTTCTAACATAAACACACAACTAGTCTTAGGAACAAGTGGAATCTACAAATAATAAGAATAATCCCTCCCGTCAAGGACGAATTTGATAGCTGAGGTATCTTTATGATGTTATGTTAATGGTACAGACTTACAGTTTTGGGAGGAGGTTTGGGGAGTGGTTTTTCAATATATGGGAGATATCAAAGTCATCATCATCTGTGTAAAGCAACAATTATCTTCAGTAACTACAAACAATAATTATCTTAAGTAATTACAACGTACAAGTAACTCTGAGCAAGTTCAAAGTATGCATGTTTAAATATTAGTAAAAGGGGAGATAACCCCCAGGTGTATTACTGATATAACAAGACATTCTGAAATTAAGCTGAGGTACAGTCAGTAGTTATAACTTCTGACTTTATATAACTGTGTGCTGAGGTACAGTCAGAGGATAACTTCAGACTTACTGTGTGCTGAGATACATTCAGTAGATAACTTCAGACTTACTGTGTGCTGAGGTACAGTCAGAGGATAACTTCAGACTTACCGTGTGCTGAGGTACAGTCAGAGGATAACTTCAGACTTACTGTGTGCTGAGGTACAGTCAGAGGATAGTGACTTCAGACTTACTGTGTGCTGAGGTACAGTCAGAGGATAGTGACTTCAGACTTACTGTGTGCTGAGGTACAGTCAGAGGATAGTGACTTCATACTTACTGTGTGCTGAGGTACAGTCAGAGGATAGTGACTTCAGACTTACTGTGTGCTGAGGTACAGTCAGAGGATAGTGACTTCAGACTTACTGTGTGCTGAGGTACAGTCAGAGGATAGTGACTTCAGACTTACTGTGTGCTGAGGTACAGTCAGAGGATAACTTCAGACTTACTGTGTGCTGAGGTACAGTCAGTAGATAAATTCAGACTTACCGTGTGCTGAGGTACAGTCAGTAGATAGTGTGTGCTTCAGACTTACTGTGTGCTGAGGTACAGTCAGTAGATAACTTCAGACTTACTGTGTGCTGAGGTATAGTCAGAGGATAGTGACTTCAGACTTACTGTGTGCTGAGGTACAGTCAGAGGATAGTGACTTCAGACTTACTGTGTGCTGAGATACATTCAGTAGATAACTTCAGACTTACTGTGTGCTGAGGTACAGTCAGAGGATAGTGACTTCAGACTTACTGTGTGCTGAGGTACAGTCGGAGGATAGTGACTTCAGACTTACTGTGTGCTGAGGTATCAGTAGATAACTTCAGACTTACTGTGTGCTGAGGTACAGTCAGTAGATAACTTCAGACTTACTGTGTGCTGAGGTACAGTCAGAGGATAACTTCAGACTTACAGTGTGCTGAGGTACAGTCAGAGATAACTTCAGACTTACTGTGTGCTGAGGTACAGTCAGTAGATAACTTCAGACTTACTGTGTGCTGAGGTACAGTCAGAGTGCTGAGGTACAGAAACTTCAGACTTATTGTGTGCTGAGGTACAGTCAGTAGATAACTTCAGACTTACTGTGTGCTGAGGTACAGTCAGAGGATAGTGACTTCAGACTTACTGTGTGCTGAGGTACAGTCAGTAGATAACTTCAGACTTACTGTGTGCTGAGGTACAGTCAGAGGATAACTTCAGACTTACTGTGTGCTGAGGTACAGTCAGTAGATAACTTCAGACTTACTGTGTGTGCTGAGGTACAGTCAGAGGATAGTGACTTCAGACTTACTGTGTGCTGAGGTACAGTCAGAGGATAGTGACTTCAGACTTACTGTGTGCTGAGGTACAGTCAGAGGATAGTGACTTCAGACTTACTGTGTGCTGAGGTACAGTCAGAGACTTACTGTGTGCTGAGACAGTTACTGTGTGCTGAGGTACAGTCAGTAGGATAGTGTGCTGACTTCAGACTTACTGTGTGCTGAGGTACAGTCAGAGGATAGTGACTTCAGACTTACTGTGTGCTGAGGTACAGTCAGTGGAGATAACTTCAGACTTACTGTGTGCTGAGGTACAGTCAGTAGATAACTTCAGACTTACTGTGTGCTGAGGTACAGTCAGTAGATAACTTCAGACTTACTGTGTGCTGAGGTACAGTCAGTAGATAACTTCAGACTTACTGTGTGCTGAGGTACAGTCAGACTTACTGTGTGCTGAGATACAGTCAGACTTCAGACTTACTGTGTGCTGAGGTACAGTCAGAGGATAGTACAGACTTCAGACTTACTGTGTGCTGAGGTACAGTCAGTAGATAACTTCAGACTTACTGTGTGCTGAGGTACAGTCAGTAGATAACTTCAGACTTACTGTGTGCTGAGGTACAGTCAGTAGATAACTTCAGACTTACTGTGTGCTGAGGTACAGTCAGTAGATAACTTCAGACTTACTGTGTGCTGAGGTACAGTCAATAGATAACTTCAGACTTACTGTGTGCTGAGGTACAGTCAGTAGATAACTTCAGACTTACTGTGTGCTGAGGTACAGTCAGTAGATAACTTCAGACTTACTGTGTGCTGAGGTACAGTCAGTAGATAACTTCAGACTTACTGTGTGCTGAGGTACAGTCAGAGGATAACTTCAGACTTACTGTGTGCTGAGGTACAGTCAGAGGATAGTGACTTCAGACTTACTGTGTGCTGAGGTACAGTCAGTAGATAACTTCAGACTTACTGTGTGCTGAGGTACAGTCAGTAGATAACTTCAGACTTACTGTGTGCTGAGGTACAGTCAGAGGATAGTGACTTCAGACTTACTGTGTGCTGAGGTACAGTCAGTAGATAACTTCAGACTTACTGTGTGCTGAGGTACAGTCAGTAGATAACTTCAGACTTACTGTGTGCTGAGGTACAGTCAGAGGATAGTGTGCTGAGGTACAGACTTCAGACTTACTGTGTGCTGAGGTACAGTCAGTAGATAACTTCAGACTTACTGTGTGCTGAGGTACAGTCAGTAGATAACTTCAGACTTACTGTGTGCTGAGGTACAGTCAGTAGATAACTTCAGACTTACTGTGTGCTGAGGTACAGTCAGAGGATAGTGACTTCAGACTTACTGTGTGCTGAGGTACAGTCAGTAGATAACTTCAGACTTACTGTGTGCTGACTTCTTCAGACTTACTGTGTGCTGAGGTACAGTCAGTAGATAACTTCAGACTTACTGTGTGCTGAGGTACAGTCAGTAGATAACTTCAGACTTACTGTGTGCTGAGGTACAGTCAGTGGATAACTTCAGACTTACTGTGTGCTGAGGTAGAGTCAGTAGATATTCAGACTTACTGTGTGCTGAGGTACAGTCAGAGATAACTGTGTGCAGAGACTTACTGTGTGCTGAGGTACAGTCAGTAGATAACTTCAGACTTACTGTGTGCTGAGGCACAGTCAGTAGATAACTTCAGACTTATTGTGTGCTGAGGTACAGTCAGTAGATAACTTCAGACTTACTGTGTGCTGAGGTACAGTCAGAAGATAGTGACTTCAGACTTACTGTGTGCTGAGGTACAGTCAGAGGATAGTGACTTCAGACTTACTGTGTGCTGAGGTACAGTCAGTAGATAACTTCAGACTTACTGTGTGCTGAGGTACAGTCAGTAGATAACTTCAGACTTACTGTGTGCTGAGGTACAGTCAGTAGATAACTTCAGACTTACTGTGTGCTGAGGTACAGTCAGTAGATAACTGTGCTGAGGTACAGTCAGATAGTGACTTCAGACTTACTGTGTGCTGAGGTACAGTCAGTAGATAACTTCAGACTTACTGTGTGCTGACTTCAGACTTACTGTGTGCTGAGGTACAGTCAGTAGATAACTTCAGACTTACTGTGTGCTGAGGTACAGTCAGTAGATAACTTCAGACTTACTGTGTGCTGAGGTACAGTTCAGGTACAGTCAGAGTGACTTCAGACTTACTGTGTGCTGAGGTACAGTCAGTAGTGTGCTGAGGTACTTCAGACTTACTGTGTGCTGAGGTACAGGTACAGATAACTTCAGACTTACTGTGTGCTGAGGTACAGTCAGTAGATAACTTCAGACTTACTGTGTGCTGAGGTACAGTCAGTAGATACTGTGTGCTGAGGTACTTCAGACTTACTGTGTGCTGAGGTACAGTCTGAGGATAGTGACTTCAGACTTACTGTGTGCTGAGGTACAGTCAGTAGATAACTTCAGACTTACTGTGTGCTGAGGTACAGTCAGATGATAACTTCAGACTTACTGTGTGCTGAGGTACAGTCAGTAGATAACTTCAGACTTACTGTGTGCTGAGGTACAGTCAGTAGATAACTTCAGACTTACTGTGTGCTGAGGTACAGTCAGTAGATAACTTCAGACTTACTGTGTGCTGAGGTACAGTCAGACTTACTGTGTGCTGAGGTACAGTCAGTAGATAACTTCAGACTTACTGTGTGCTGAGGTACAGTCAGTAGATAACTTCAGACTTACTGTGTGCTGAGGTACAGGTACAGTCAGAGGTATAGTGACTTCAGACTTACTGTGTGCTGAGGTACAGTCAGTAGATAACTTCAGACTTACTGTGTGCTGAGGTACAGTCAGTAGATAACTTCAGACTTACTGTGTGCTGAGGTACAGTCAGTAGATAACTTCAGACTTACTGTGTGCTGAGGTACAGTCAGTAGATAACTTCAGACTTACTGTGTGCTGAGGTACAGTCAGTAGATAACTTCAGACTTACTGTGTGCTGAGGTACAGTCAGTAGATACTGTGTGCTGAGGTACTTCAGACTTACTGTGTGCTGAGGTACAGTCAGTAGATAACTTCAGACTTACTGTGTGCTGAGGTACAGTCAGTAGATAACTTCAGACTTACTGTGTGCTGAGGTACAGTCAGTAGATAACTTCAGACTTACTGTGTGCTGAGGTACAGTCAGTAGATAACTTCAGACTACTGTGTGCTGACTTCAGACTTACTGTGTGCTGAGCTGAGGTACAGTCAGTAGATAACTTCAGACTTACTGTGTGCTGAGGTACAGTCAGAGGAGACTTACTGTGTGCTGAGGTAACTTCAGACTTACTGTGTGCTGAGGTACAGTCAGTAGATAACTTCAGACTTACTGTGTGCTGAGGTACAGTCAGTAGATAACTTCAGACTTACTGTGTGCTGAGGTACAGTCAGTAGATACTTCAGACTTACTGTGTGCTGAGGTACAGTCAGTAGATAGTGTGCTGACTTCAGACTTACTGTGTGCTGAGGTACAGTCAGAGGATAGTGACTTCAGACTTACTGTGTGCTGAGGTACAGTCAGTAGATAACTTCAGACTTACTGTGTGCTGAGGTACAGTCAGTAGATAACTTCAGACTTACTGTGTGCTGAGGTACAGTCAGTCGATAACTTCAGACTGACTGTGTGCTGAGGTACAGTCAGTAGATAACTTCAGACTTACTGTGTGCTGAGGTACAGTCAGTTACTGTGTGCTGATACAGTCAGTAGATAACTTCAGACTTACTGTGTGCTGAGGTACAGTCAGTAGATAACTTCAGACTTACTGTGTGCTGAGGTACAGTCAGTAGATAACTTCAGACTTACTGTGTGCTGAGGTACAGTCAGTAGATAACTTCAGACTTACTGTGTGCTGAGGTACAGTCAGTAGATAACTTCAGACTTACTGTGTGCTGAGGTACAGTCAGTAGATAACTTCAGACTTAGTGTGTGCTGAGGTACAGTCAGTAGATAACTTCAGACTTACTGTGTGCTGAGGTACAGTCAGAGGATAGTGACTTCAGACTTACTGTGTGCTGAGGTACAGTCAGAGGATAGTGACTTCAGACTTACTGTGTGCTGAGGTACAGTCAGTAGATAACTTCAGACTTACTGTGTGCTGAGGTACAGTCAGAGGATAGTGACTTCAGACTTACTGTGTGCTGAGGTACAGTCAGTAGATAACTTCAGACTTACTGTGTGCTGAGGTACAGTCAGTAGACTTCAGACTTACTGTGTGCAGACTTCAGACTGTGTGCTGAGGTACAGTCAGTAGATAACTTCAGATAGAACTTCAGACTTACTGTGTGCTGAGGTACAGTCAGAGGATAGTGACTTCAGACTTACTGTGTGCTGAGGTACAGTCAGAGGATTACTGTGTGCTGAGGTACAGACCGTAGATAACTTCAGACTTACTGTGTGCTGAGGTACAGTCAGTAGATAACTTCAGACTTACTGTGTGCTGAGGTACAGTCAGTAGACTTGTGTATACCAAGAGACTTATGTTACCTGTAAAGGCGATAACTCCAGACTTACCTCCTAGATAATAGACATCTGTATACAGAGTCCCGGACGATAACCCCAGACTTACCTCCTGGATAATAGACATCTGTGTACAGAGTCCCGGACGAAAACTCCAGACTTACCTCCTGGATAATAGACATCTGTATACAGAGTCCCGGACCATAACTCCAGACTTACCTCCTGGATAATAGACATCTGTATACAGAGTTCCGGACCATAACTCCAGACTTACCTCCTGGATAATAGACATCTGTGTACAGAGTTCTGGACCATAACTCCAGACTTACCTCCTGGATAATAGACATCTGTATACAGAGTCCCGGACCATAACTCCAGACTTACCTCCTGGATAATAGACATCTGTATACAGAGTTCCGGACCATAACTCCAGACTTACCTCCTGGATAATAGACATCTGTGTACAGAGTTCTGGACCATAACTCCAGACTTACCTCCTGGATAATAGACATCTGTATACAGAGTCCCGGACCATAACTCCAGACTTACCTCCTGGATAATAGACATCTGTATACAGAGTCCCGGACCATAACTCCAGACTTACCTCCTGGATAATAGACATCTGTATACAGAGTCCCGGACCATAACTCCAGACTTACCTCCTGGATAATAGACATCTGTTTACAGAGTCCTGGACCATAACTCCAGACTTACCTCCTGGATAATAGACATCTGTATACAGAGTCCCGGACCATAACTCCAGACTTACCTCCTGGATAATAGACATCTGTATACAGAGTCCCGGACCATAACTCCAGACTTACCTCCTGGATAATAGACATCTGTATACAGAGTCCCGGACCATAACTCCAGACTTACCTCCTGGATAATAGACATCTGTATACAGAGTCCCGGACCATAACTCCAGACTTACCTCCTGGATAATAGACATCTGTATACAGAGTCCCGGACCATAACTCCAGACTTACCTCCTGGATAATAGACATCTGTATACAGAGTCCCGGACCATAACTCCAGACTTACCTCCTGGATAATAGACATCTGTTTACAGAGTCCCGGACCATAACTCCAGACTTACCTCCTGGATAATAGACATCTGTGTACAGAGTCCCGGACCATAACTCCAGACTTACCTCCTGGATAATAGACATCTGTATACAGAGTCCCGGACCATAACTCCAGACTTACCTCCTGGATAATAGACATCTGTTTACAGAGTCCCGGACCATAACTCCAGACTTACCTCCTGGATAATAGACATCTGTGTACAGAGTCCCGGACCATAACTCCAGACTTACCTCCTGGATAATAGACATCTGTATACAGAGTCCCCGACGATAACTCCAGACTTACCTCCTGGATAATAGACATCTGTGTACAGAGTCCCGGACCATAACTCCAGACTTACCTCCTGGATAATAGACATCTGTATACAGAGTCCCGTCAGAAGAGTCTTGAGACCATCCCGGTACCCTCTGACTTGGCGCAGTCCCTATAAAAAAACACAATCCATGTTAGTCAGGGTTACTCATAAACAGGTGAAAATTAAATATAAACAAATCAACATCGGAACCCGATCATGAGATATAGTTGTTTTATTCTTTACTTTGCTAAAATATCTCCAGATTTAATGATGTTTGTCTGTGTTGGTCTTCAACAACAACATAAAATTTCAGATGAGTTTGATTAAATTTACCTTGACATAGTACTGATTTGTGAAGATATAAAAAATTTCTATAACAACTTATTATCATGTGTCTTTGATAAAGAAAATAGAGAAACTATTGTAAACCAGAAATATAATTCCATGAATTCAATATTAACAGCATATTTAATGAAGTTAATTAAGCTCAATAGTTTTAAGTAAGGCACTACGTAGTTATATACAACATTAGGGAATATATTGGTACAGAACAAACCGACTGAAATACATATACAGTTGAAACTCGATGTCTCGATATTTCTGGAGTCGAAATTCTGCTTGAGTCAAAATAAGTCCTGCTTATTTCCTATCTAGATCTTGTGTGAGTTGAAATTCAGATAAGTCGAAATGCTTTCCTTGTTGCCTTGAATTTCGAGATAACGAGTTTCCATTGTATATACTTTAGCACAGTATAACAGTGTTATGTATTAGGGTATAGTTACAATAGATAAGGTCAGCTAATTTTATGTACAATGTATGTTTTGATTATTGAATTAATTATTTACACTGTAATCAAGATTATCATATATCTGGTCAGATAAATGGTGTGTTGTGGCCATAGGACGCAACATAAATATTGTTAGATATATGTGTAGTATTAATACTAATGTTGTAAAATTGTCAAGTGTTGATGACGTAAAGTAACATAATAAGTCATATAGGGAAACTGATTTAAGAGCTACAAATGATATGGTGAACAAGGTCTTTCATTCATGCTAATGTAATATGGAATTTATCATAATATGTATCCAGTTTAATTCTAGATTACATCAACACTCACACAAGATTTTCTATATATCAGCTATGTCACCATACATATGATTACTGCCCTTTAATGGTCATCACGGGAAAAAAAATCTTCAATTCTACTGTACATTTATCACATCCGTATGTATCAAGATGTCCTGTGTGGTGTTTGAACATAATCACAATTCTAATTGATCAAGTAATTTATTTTGATATTTTTTTTTTTATACGGATCAAAAGTAAAGAAATATGCGATGATTCTAACATTTCATTACGATTTGAGAAGGTCATGATATTATCAGGTAGAGCTGATGAAATCAGAAAAGTTGGTAACACTCAGTTATTGATATAATGTAACAGACAATATATATATATATATAATCAAATTAAACAGAACAAGAACAACAGTGAAACTGATGAATGGTCCACGAAAACAAATCTATTGAACACACAATTTTAATAAAGGGCAATCATTCTGTTAAGGAGTTTCAGGCACTGAATTTGGTACAGGGTACATCCTCTTAGTATGACCAATGTATCCCAAAGTTTCACTATGCTAGTTTAAATGAAAGCAAAGTTATGCTATGGACGTCAATTTCTACAAAGGGCAATAACTCTGGAATTGAGATGTTATGGGTCCTGATTTTGCTACACTGCACATAACCTTTGTATGACTAATGTAATCATCACGTTTCATTATCCTAGTTCAAATGCAAGGAATTTAAAGCTATGCTCTTGACAAAAATGTAACAAAGGGCAACAGCTCTGTAATTGAGGGGGTCATGAGCCCTGAATTTGGTACACTGCACATCATGTTAGCATGACCAATGTATACACCTAGTTTCATGATCCTTGCTTAACCTTGGGCAAATTTATGCTCAGGACACGAAAGTACAAATATAATGATGGACAGAAGGAACAAAGATGCAACTAAATGATCCTCTCAAAATTTTTGAGGGGTATAATAAAACTGAATATGCTGACACATGACAGTAAATATATATCCAATGTACAAGGGAATACAACAGATTGTATATAAATATTTATGTATGACAATTCTAGTGACTCCAGTAAAAAAAAACAATCTAAAATGGATTTACAATATCATGATGTAGCTATCTTAATTTTCTTGGACTTTTTTATATTTAAACTAGAATTTAGGCCACAGACTAGCTTTATGTCCCTACTGCAATTTGACTTGAATATGATATTTACAGTACTATCTAATTTCCATGTACAAGTATTTACTCCCTTAAAACTGATTAGACAAACATACAGACAAAAAGACAGACAGTCTAATACTGATTAGACAAACATACAGACAAAAAGACAGACAGTCTAATACTGATTAGACAAACATACAGACAAAAAGACAGACAGTCTAATACTGATTAGACAAACATACAGACAAAAAGACAGACAGTCTAATACTGATTAGACAAACATACAGACAAAAAGACAGACAGTCTAATACTGATTAGACAAACATACAGACAAAAAGACAGACAGTCTAATACTGATTAGACAAACATACAGACAAAAAGACAGTCCAATACTGATTAGACAACATACGGACAAAAAGACAGACAGTCTAATACTGATTAGACAAACATACAGACAAAAAGACAGACAGTCTAATACTGATTAGACAACATACGGACAAAAAGACAGACAGGATTACAATTCAGTTCACATCCTGTTTACAACACTTTGAGGTATATCTATTAATACATTACGTATGGCAAACACACTTCCAGATCTCTTATTACAATTCCTGAACAAAAGACGTTGTAGAGATCAAAGTGAAGGGAATCAAAGGTCATTAAATCCCTGTTAGGCTTACCTGAACAACAATCTTGGTATTGATACAGAAAAAATGACCAGAAAAGTCCATGAAATACCTCCTAGATGAAATAATGTAAATTTGTAAAGTTATATAAAACCAGGATATGCCCTGGTTCTCAGAAACCTTCACTTTCACCCCTGAAATTGACATAAGACTCATAAAATTTAGAAAGTTTTACTCTATTTCATAAAGAATTGAAGTTCACGGAATCTTTCAAGTCATAAATTTTAGGGTCCAAGGAAAACCCCTACAAACATATCAAATATTGTCCCTTTAGAGATAACTGACAAAGTGAGCCTTTATAATTACAATAAGGAAACAAATGGATTATGTTCTAGCTAGCACTATATAAAGTTAATTCAATAATAATTACTATATCACTAGAGTACAGAATTTCAAACGAGATGAGATCCTTTTGCTATGTCAACTCTAAATCTAGTCAGACTTTGAACTCTATACTCCACCCAACCTCTTTATCAACGTCAGGAATATTCCATATCTGATGCATGTTAGTCAATAGGGAAAACTTCTCAAGAAAACATCTTAATAGAATACAATGACCTAAAATTCTGTCTGGTAATAAGCCCACCCATATCTAGTGCTGTTTAGTGGACTTTCAAACAAATACTTATTCATTGTCTAGTGATAAACCATGTCTGATAATAAGCCCACCCATATTAAGTACATTTAAGTATACTTACAAACTAATGCTATTTCATTGTCTAGTGATAAGCCCTTGTCTGGTAATAAACCCACCCATATCTAGTGCTGTTTAGTGGACTTTCAAACTAATACTTATTCATTGTCCAGTGATAAGCCCTTGTTTGGTAATAAGCCCACCCACTTCTGTTTCAGTTCATCAGACCCCTTGTACTCTGAGACAAAGAAAAATCATAGACAACAACTACAGTATCACAGACAACAACTACAGTATCACAGACAACAGCTACAGTATCACAGACAACAGCTACAGTATCATAGACATCACAGACAACAGCTACAGTATCATAGACAACAGCTACAGTATCACAGACAACAACTACAGTATCACAGACAACAACTACAGTATCGCAGACAACAGCTACAGTATCACAGACAACAACTACAGTATCACAGACAACAGCTACAGTATCATAGACAACAACTACAGTATCACAGACAACAACTACAGTATCGCAGACAACAGCTACAGTATCATAGACAACAACTACAGTATCACAGACAACAACTACAGTATCACAGACAACAACTACAGTATCATAGACAACAACTACAGTATCACAGACAACAACTACAGTATCGCAGACAACAGCTACAGTATCACAGACAACAGCTACAGTATCATAGAAAACAACTACAGTATCACAGACAACAACTACAGTATCACAGACAACAGCTACAGTATCATAGACAACAACTACAGTATCACAGACAACAACTACAGTATCGCAGACAACAGCTACAGTATCACAGACAACAGCTACAGTATCACAGACAACAGCTACAGTATTGCAGACAACAGCTACAGTATCACAGGCAACAGCTACAGATCACAGACAACAGCTACAGTATCACAGACAACAGCTACAGTATCATAGACTACAGCTACAGTATCACAGACAACAACTACAGTATCATAGACAACAACTACAGTATCACAGACAACAACTACAGTATCGCAGACAACAGCTACAGTATCACAGACAACAGCTACAGTATCATAGAAAACAACTACAGTATCACAGACAACAACTACAGTATCACAGACAACAACTACAGTATCACAGACAACAACTACAGTATCGCAGACACAGACAACAGCTACAGTATCACAGACAACAGCTACAGTATCACAGACAACAGCTACAGTATTGCAGACAACAGCTACAGTATCACAGACAACAGCTACAGTATCACAGACAACAGCTACAGTATTGCAGACAACAGCTACAGTATCACAGACAACAGCTACAGTATCACAGACAACAGCTACAGTATCACAGGCAACAGCTACAGTATCACAGACAACAGCTACAGTATCACAGACAACAGCTACAGTATCATAGACTACAGCTACAGTATCATAGACAACAGCTACAGTATCATAGACAACAGCTACAGTATCATAAACACAGCCACAGTATCACAGAATGAATGTTACAGTGTTATAGACAAAGTTACAGTATCACAGAATGAA